CATTGCCAAAACTTTTGAGCCAATTTTGAGCTTCTAAGGAATTTTAATTTTTGGGAGGTTTACTGTGATTCAGATATAAATACACGTAGAGACTTGAAACTTAGTGATAATATTTATATTGGATTTACCTGTGAAACTTCCAAAATCATCGGACAACTTTTTTTCTTTTAATAATCGTTTTGAAATCAAATTTAAACGAAGATCGTAAAAATTATGTATTACCGAACTGCGCTCGGAATCGTCTTTCATCAGCAATGGTTTATCGTTGCTTATAGATATAAATTAAATAACCTTATGTATCCTACCTTCCCAACCTTCCATCTACAACAGTGGCTGCATCTATCCCCAGTATCAGGTTTAATTAAAAATTATTTCTACTTGTCCAGATTCCAAATACCTCACTTTGTAGAGTAGGTATCTAAGCATTCATAATACCTGTTTTTTAAAATCTAAAAATATTAAACAATATAAATATATAATAATTATAGTTTTCGAAATAATAAAATAAAAGGTAATTTATATAATTATAGGTTTAACAAAAGTGTATTGTCAAAATATAAGATATTATTGCAAGTATACAGTGTATCAAAATTTAATATGTTTAATATAATGTTTTAATAGTATAATTAATATAATTTTAGTTGAATACAATATTATTGAATTTTATTTTTTAATTATTAATTTAAATCCATGAGTTTTTTTGTTGTAGCTTGTTTTGATTGTTGTTCCATATTGTTTCAACTCAAAATTAAATAAAAACAGGTCGAAAAACGTTGAATGCTATGGTGGGACAATAATAAAAAAACGTCCTAGGATAATGGGGACGGGTGTAGCCACTGTTATAGATAATTTATATATATACCTGTAAACCATTACTTAAAAACGATTCTGAACAGAGTCCAATTGAAAGTGATGCTTTTTAAACAATATATATGACATATAATAGTTAAGTAATTAAATACGCTTTATATATTTTCTTTAATAATATTTATTTTATGTTATACTGATTTTTCCAATTTTCCTACGTTTTTCCCGGTTTTTCACATTTGCCTGGAAAACTCTTGGAAAAATCAATAATGACCTCCCTAAAGTACCTTCCTAGTCAAATTTCTTTTTAAAAACATTACTTTCATTAAAAATGAGAACAAAATTGTTGGTAGAAAAGTTTCACACAGAAAAAAAATCTAAGTATATTTTAACTTATACCTACATATCTTATATTTTCCCGTTTTCCACCACCTTATTTCGGTTTTTTAAATTTTTTCGGTCTAATGTATCCTACATTTCCAACTTTTTGCCTACAACAGTGACCTCTCCCATCCTCAGTATCCACTCTTTTTTTTTTTCGATTACAAAGTAAAACCTTAAAATAACCTCCTACTAAATTTCCAAATGCTTCTGTTAAGTCCAACAATTTTACTATAGAACACCGAATAAAATTAAGTACAAAACTCGCAAAATTTAAATGTCTATAAATAGTTTAAAAATGGCTTAAATTTTTTGAAAATTTTACCAATCTAGAAAAGATGTTTGTCTAGAAAAGACAAACATAAATTATCTGTCTAAATTTAAGTTTCTAAGAATATTTTTACTGAATCACAACAAATAATACAATTAAAAAATAATAAAAGCATTATTTTCATAAATATCTCGATTTTCTTACGTTTTATCCTGATTTTGTTCCAAATATTATGAAAGCCGCTTGGAAAATCAAAAAAAGACCTCCCAAAAGTACCATCTAGATAACATTCCCTTTCGGAAATGGTGCCGCGTGTATATATTTTAGGGAGATTTCTAGTAAAAATTTTGTACACAGTATAAAAAATAAAAATAAAAAAATAAAATAAATATCTTATTAAAACCAATACATTCTTCGCTACACTTAGAATTTAATATGTACTGCACTAAAAATTTACAACCCTAATCATTAGATATGTACATTGTACATATAGATATTTTTTCCATGCAGTTGTCAGTTGATGTTGTTGACAAAAGCTATCGCTATCGTAACATAATAATTAACGCTATTTTGAGTTTTTGAACAGTTTATCGTATACAGAGAGATTCTTTTATAGTTTAACACTTCTCATTTCGTAACGTATAGACTTTAATAAAAAATGTCATTTGATTATCTTTCTTTTAAGAAATAAGCAGATCTAAAATGTTACATCACTATTATTTATTGTCATTCTTATATTGGGAGTAAAACTACGAACTCTCGATTTTAAAATGGTAACCTACATTAAAAGTCCAATGTATAATATATATATATTATATTTCAATAATTGACGGAATTTGATTAAAAATATCGGAAAATAAACTAAAAAGGGAAATATGACTTAAAAAGTTCATAATATGACCTTAAAAAATTAAAAACGTCAAAAATGCAAAATAAAAGTTTTATAAATTAATTTTTTGTGAACATGATGCAAATTATATATTTAGAAAGCTACGTTTCACAATCAGCTAAAAAAAAAAACGTCCTAAGATTATGGAAACGGGCACAGCCACTGTTATAGTTAATTTAATGAATACCTGTAAACAACGATAAACTTACGATAAAACGATTCTGAACAGAGTTCAATTGATAGTGATGCTTTGTTTAACAATATTTATCTCATTTTATAGTTATGCAATTAAACAGGCTTTATATATTTTCTTTAATAATATTTATATAATGTTGTACCGATTTTTCCAGTTTTTCTACGTTTTCCCAGTTTCCCCCTGTTTTATCCCAGGTTTTCATATTTGCCTGGAAAAATCTTAGAAAAATCAAAAAATGACCTCCCTAAAGTACCATTTAATTTCCTTGTAAAAACATTCCTATCATTAAAAATGGGAGCAAAATTGTGCAGAGAAAAAAAATTGAAATATATTTTAACTTATACCTACATTTCTTATATTTCCCTATTTTTTTTTCGGTTTTTCAAATTTGATGAGGGAACACCTGAGAAAATCCCTCAAGTACCTCCCCACACTGGTTTTCTTCAAAAAAAGGTGCTACACTTAAAAATCTGAGGAAGTCTTCTGGTAGAAAAGTTGTGCACAGATAAAAAAAAAAACATCTTTATAAAACCATAAGTTTCTTCGTTCCACTCAGAATTTTAAACAAAACCATCAGAAATAATGAAATCGTTAATGGTCGTAAACTCTCCAGTTTTTTCTAAGTGTTTACCCAATTTTTTTAGGAAATTGTCTGTAAATCGAAAATGGCCTCCTTATTGCACCAGCTAAATCTGAAATTCAACAAAATTGCTCTCTTGTCGTATTTTGATTAGATCAATATATTTGGTAAACAAATTGTACATGGAAAGAAAAAAATAAAAAATAAATGCTCATCACAGTAAATCCAATACGTTCTCTGTTACGTCTAAAAAGAAAATCCATAGTATTTAATGAGTGAGAGGTTCTGTAACCTATATTAATGTGTGCGCGCAACCAAAAATACAATAATATCCAGTATTATATAAAAGGTGCTGATTATATAATAGGTGCCTATTATATAATAATATCCAGTATTATATAATAAGTGCCTGTTATATAATAATATCCAGTATTATATAATAAGTGCCTGTTATATAATAATATCCAGTATTATATAATATGTACCTATTAGTATAATATTGGTTAAAATTTTTTTTTTCTCGTGGAATTCGGCAGGTGTTTTTTTATTACGCGTAGCGTGTATAAACTCTTTCACATTAATCGTTCGACATTCATCGGTAGGAAAGGAAACTCTGTGTATCAATTAAATACTCATATGTGTTTAATTGATGGTAAACACGCAGATAGTATCCCCTCGCGCGTTTACCAACAGTAATATTATAACATTATGCTACATTTGTTGCGTAGTGCATGCGGTCGTGTGTGTAATAATCTGAAGTCTGAACAATTTATCATTATTGTTATAGCTGTTGAATATTATTTATATACTATATTATAACACACTGAACGTTGAACTTTTATACCACAAATTATTATTAAGTATTTATTTCAATTATTCAACAGTGTGTGTCAAAATGTATAACTTCACGACGAAATCCAATATATATAATCTATATAGATACCTACTACTGTGAATGCCATACAATTACAGACAATTATTACCCATAATACAACTAATAGAAATTATTTTCATTTTTTCTGTAGGTAATAATTAAAAAATTAAAAACAATCCGTGGTCATTAGTTATAGCCTAAATAGGTACCTAGTGAAACAATCCTGCATTTAAAAAAAAAAAAAAAAAAAAAATATATTTATAAAATCGTATAATGTCTTTTAGTAAAACGCTTTTATTTCTTGTGTCAATTAATAATAATAACGTTTACAAATTAATACTAAATAGAAAAAACTTTTATAAAAGTTAATAATACTTAAATTATTCGGAACATCATAATATTTAATTAATACTATAATATATAAGATAATACTAGGGAAAATCAAAGATGAAATCGTATCTGTGTGACTTTCTGTGCATTTTCGGAGGTCAAACATCCGAAAAGGTAACTGCGCACACTTGATTGTGGATAAAATCAATTTTCCAGCCCCGCAGTAGCGAAAAGTTTCCACCCGCTACGTGTACCTCGTCAGGCATACATGAATGTTTTCGGTTTCTCGTTTACAGACAGGAATAACGATTTAAACCGAAGGGCGAGGAGACCCGACGATTTTCTGAGCTCGTTGCATTGCCATGACACCGGCACATGCGCATTACGTCAAGGACGAAATATTTAACTTTGTGTGAGACTTATAAAAAATCGATATAATAAACAGTATTAGTTTGACGTCATAGTTACTGGGTCAACAGACAAGACACCGGCCGGATCGAGGACCGGAGCGCGCATATAGCAATACGGCCGTCTTGGAACTATAAACGGAACCCAGATTTCCCTTCTTCCCTCCACCGACTGCGTGACATATTTTCACCACTGGTGTCGCAGTTACAACTTTCAAACTCTGTGGGCGGATGATGCGGAGGCCGGGACTCTATTGATCGTGGCGTCGTCTACAGCGCCCGCACGGCATCTCGCTAGTCAATTTTCTATAGTCACTTGTTTGCGTCAGCCGTTGCATTATCATTGTGTATGAAGTGCCTGCCGAACAAACATTAATTGCTGTATACTCATTTTCAGTTAGCTAGGTATTTCCTACGAAATCCATGTTTGGTATTCATATTATTTATAATATTTTTATTCTTTTTACAGCTCTTTATTTTCTTAATAGCTCAGAATAATCATGTCCGAAAACTTTGGTGATGCAGTTCAACCGACTGAACTGAAAACAATTACTGTAGAAAAAAAGGAAATGGCAGAACGAAAAATAGCTATACCTAAGAAAAAGCAAAATACAAAGACAAAAGCAACTGAAAATAATGAACCTGAAACAAAAACTGATGAAACCAACGAAACTACGACTCGAGACGTCTACACTGCAGGGACATCATTTGGTGCCAACCAAAACATCGTCAACACTTCAGGGACCATGTTGAGCGCCAACCACGACAACATCGTCAATACTATATCAAACCAAACCGATAGCAACAACGAAAAGCATATTTTAAGAGTAATATTACCAAAATTGTATACCGACTACAATTATTATTGTACATGTCGAATTTATTTATTTTTACACATTATTTTGCGGTGTCGATACGCTCGTGACGCAGTCCCAGATTCCACGCGCCGATCTGTTATGTTTGCACAACGTACGTAGCTCTGGTTACAGATGTGTCCTGGCTGTGCATTTTAATAGATTATAATATGCCACACTTGCATTTGCTGTCTCAGTTTCGGAACACAGAAAATTATTACGTTACTTGAATCGAATTAAAATTTTATAGCTAAGTAGAAATTAGAGTTTAAACACTAATGATAAAATTTAAAGAGGATAATATTTTCGAGAGCATTTTTTTTTTCAAAAAAATTAACAGTAAAATTGCCGTAATTTTTTCCATTAGATATTTAAAAAAAAATCATGATATACTCATGACACCTACTTTTACTGTCAAAAATATTATTCTCTTTAAGTTTTATTATTTGTGTTTGGACTCTAATTTCAAGATAAATGCCCCAATTCATAATCTAAGTAGATAACATGGTTTTGCTGTGTAGTTACTTATATATTAGACTAACAAGTAGGTATCTAAGTTCATTGCATATTATACTTAATAACACATTATTTTAGATTCCAAGTGGAGCGAAGAAGCTTATGGTTTTACAAGGATGTTTATTTTTTTTATTTTATTTTTTTTTTTATCTGTGCACAACTTTTCTACCGAAAATTTGGCTCCGATTTTTAAATGTTGCACTCTTTGTAATAGAAAATCGGACTGGGGAGATACTTTAGGGAGGTCATTATTTGATTCTCCCAACATATGAGAAAAAACTGTAAAACTATAATTAATTAAAAATAAAGTTGTAAATATTTACAATTATTTAGTTATAAACTTTGAGCTTAATGTAGAATATTTTTTTATAAAAGTTTTAAAATCNTCAAAACATGTGTAACCGAATTTCACTCCGAATGTATCAGGTCTTTTTATTATTTTTTTTATCTTTGAACAACTTAAATCATTTTTTCTAAAAGAAAAACTGACTAGGGTAGTACTTTAGGTAGGTAATTTTTTGATTTTCTTAGCTGCTTTCATAATAAATAGGAAAAAACGGAATATAGGTACAATATTAAACAAGTATTTAAGAAAATATATAATGCTTATTTAATTATATTACCATAATATAAAATATATATTGTTAACAAAGCAACACTACTAACCGAACTCTACTCAGAATCGTTTTTCATTGGCAATAGTTAATCGTTGCGTACAGATATACATTCAATTCTCTCTCTTTCTTCCCAACTTCTCACCTACAACAGTGGCTCACTTATCTTGAGAAGTGTGTTCGTATTTTTTTTTTTTAATTGATAGGAAGTTCATTATATGTAGTACCCTTTTTTTATTTTTATATAAGAATTTTAATATCTAATTTTGACGAAAATCTTAAATATTTCGGCATTTTAAAATATATATAATCGAACTCCTCTTAGAATCGTTCTTCGTTAGCAATGATTAATTGTTGCATACAAAATACATTAAAGTCTCCTCTATTTCTTACTCTCTCAACTTCTCACCTATAACAGTGGTCCACCCATCCTGCGAAGTATGTCCGTCTTTTGTTATCATTATTTTGTAATATAAATAATAAATACTCATAATCTCAAGATTATTGTATAAATTACTTATAAAATCCTTGAAAAAATTTTGTTTTTTTCAAAAGTCTTTTTCTTTCGCAAATTTGTCAGTATCAAGGTTATACACTAAACGAATATACTGCGCGGTCTATTTATTATATGCCTGTATGTAGTCAATAGATGAGATTATATAAAATGAAAATTATCTACGATTATATGATAATTTTGTCTAAATATTCTAACCAAAATTTAATGTCCATTTAAAACTATTAATGCTTTTCTAAAATCGAATATTTAGTCAAATAATAAATAATATACAAAACTGATATGTTGAGCTCGAAAATTAAATTTTTCCTACTCCTTTTTGTAATTTTACACGTATTTTTTCTTTCATGAAAAACCTTAGATTGTCTATCTCAATCACACACATGTTAGCTTCGATATATTTTCTGTAAAATGGTTTTCATTCGTATTTCGTGGTCTATTTTATTATACATCTAATGTATATGCCATAAACTGTGAGTTAAATCGTGATATCAAATTATGTTCTAGCTTAATAGTGTAATTCAAAATACCGCGTGCGAAAAATTATAAACCAATCAGAGACAGCGAGAAAAACCAGTATTATATTTGCACAGTTTGAGACAAAATTTCGTCTATAAATATCATACTTATTTTATTATATCATAATCGTATCTGTTTTTGGCAATCCTCTGGAGTGCTTGAATCCAATTTGGATAGTAAATATTAATAAACCAAATATTAGATACCAGATAATAAAAAAAAAAGAAATTAATTGTGAAAATGTACATTAGTTACAAATAAAACAATTTTTAGTGCCAAAAACTGTATATTTTACCCTATATAGTCCGAACTATATATGATTCTTATATGCTCGAAACGATTTTTCCGTCATAAAAAATTTGAATTTATTTTCTGATATTAACACAGATATCTGTGGATATTACACAATAAATAGCTTCGACCATATAAACTTAGCTTATATGGTCAAAGATATATAGCACAGATATATAACTATTAGATAAATAATAACTTATAATGCGCCCTCTATACTCTGGCCGATGCAATACGAGCACAAGAGTGTAACTGACTCACTTACGTCATTTTATCACACCTCGCCTTGTGCGTGCTTCGTTTAATGTCAGATTTTTTATCGCGAGTCAAAGGACACACGGAACCATTAATGTACAACTGAGTATATTATGAAGAATGTGGATAATATACTTTATACGCCTTGTACAAATTTTGAACAAGGTGATCTTGCGAAAGTATAGAGAGAGCATATTATTAATTTTTACGAATACACGATTCTAGGTAGACACTTGTAAATATTTTTAATATATATTAGTTGATTAATTTTCATTTTTTCAATTTTATCTTTAAAATTTCCTACTCGCAACTCTATACACCTTGTTAATACCTATTATTCCGTAATAACATTACATATTTTTAAAAGTAATTGTTCTGATTTTGTCCATGATTAAAGAAACAGGCATGCCAGTAAAATTATTCTGCGCATGAAGCGTATCCCAGGTATAGAATAAATAATAAAACATGTAATATATGTATTTCCTTATGGTTATAAATGATCACAGGTTATCACTTTTTATCACGGTTATTACATAGATTGAAATAATGATTGGACTAAACACGAAAAGGTGGGCAAGTAGTAAAAACATGGTTATTGTACCGCTTATTCCGAAATTGGGTTACCACGCTAACTACTTATTTTTGATGACATGCCTGTTTAATTAACCATGGTTTTATTGTAAATTCATAATAATAAACCTAATATTTGTACTTTGTATACCTCTTACCGACAAGTTTTTTTGATAACATAGAACATCAAAGTGGAGCCGCTAGATACAGAGTCAGATTCTTGGACAGATGGAAACATAAAAATGGAACTTGAAGATCCAGAGTATAGTGATACTCCGTATAATGTGACTCAGGATCAGATGGACACTATCGACGTTAACCATTTGGTTAACATAAAATCTGAACCAACCGAAGTAGAATTTCCCGAAAATCGAAATGGACATTCATCATACGAGTATGTACAAGAAGTACAACATTTTGCTGGTACATCCAATTTTCCGATGACAAATATAAAAGTTGAGCCAATGGAAGTAGTCCATGACTATCAAACTGAATATCCTAATGTGCCTCATCAAAGCCAATATCTTCAATACGCATTTCCTCCTCAGTTCATTAATCAGCCGCTGGATTTGTTTCCGATAGAACTTTATTATCACCAATATATATCAAATTTTCACCTCCAACAAGCACTTAATTTCCAACGTCCTTTCCAAACATTCAATTGGACTTTTACACGAGAAGTTGCCCCACCATCACCACCACCAGCACTGGCAATTCAACCACAATTTAATGATCATTTTGCCGTACAAATGCTACCACCATTAGTAGAACCGCAAGAAGGTAACTTGCGACCTACTAGAAAGAGACGAACACCATCAGCTGCCTTTGGATCTGCTGAAGCTGCTGCTGCTGCTGCTGCTGCTGCTACAGATACTGCTGTTGCTGATATAGATACTGCAACTGCTGCAGTTGAAATCGATAAAAAAAAGAAAAGAAATTAATAAAGTACGTTTATTGATTTAATTATTAACTTGAAATATTTCTTCCACATCCACTCACTTCACGAACGCTTCTGAAAGCTGTCGGAATTTAAGTAAAAAACCATCGATTTTATTTTTAAAAAAATCACGTCGGGTTGGTCATGTCCCACAAGTGAGACAGTGCGATTTGAAAACATCTAATTTACGAAATAACAAAATAGTTTTTAAAATCAATGATTATTTTCTGGATTATTATACTCAAGAAACGTAGCCAGGAGGGTCCACGAAATCTGGATCACCCCCCCCCCCTTCACTCATATCTAAGCTTCTAAACAAAAATCAGATTATTGATACAATTGTTGATAATTAGTGATAAATTATGATTAGACCCACCCCAAAAAAAAAATTTAAAATACCTTGGCTACGTAGCTGATTATATATTCTGTGATTTTAAATTCCGAAGAAAATTATTCATAAATAATATAGTTGCATTCAAAAAATTTCCCAATCCGTATGTGCTTCAATTTATTTGAACATGTGGTTCTTGCATTAACATTAGAACTCTGCATGGACTGGGCTCCAATCAGAGTTTCAACTCGATCCGAAGTCTGATTGGAATGGTTTGAACTTAACCGTTTTTCGGACCAGATCAGTTCGGACTCTTAAAATAATTCATAATTCGAGTGGTTTCAAATTCGGACCACCCCTACAGCTGTGCGTGGACCCGGTTTTGACCCGAGTTTTTGTCCGAACCTGATAAGACCATTCTCATCCGGACAAATTATGGACTTATCAGGTAGGATCATGAATTCTGACAAAAGGGCCACATTTTCAGATTTTTGTATCGGATTGGATTGAGTCAGATGAACTACAATTTCTATCGGGTCTGATCGGATTTAATTTTGTCGGCCGTTCAGAGTACCAGGGCTCTAATAGATAATAAATATCAATGGGTGCGTAAGAAGGAATTTATTCTGAGTGTATTTTACATTTATAGTCACAGCATTATTTCTTTTTTTTTCACTAATCGATTGCATACTATAAATATAGGTTCATGTCTTACATTATGATACTGGATACTATACTTATAATTGAATATTCTAAATAAATGATATATTAAAATTATTATTTTGGTTTAGATCTATTCTGATAAGAAGAACACCAAGATACCATCATCAAATATATTCTCAACAATTATAAATTACCAAAGAACAAATTTATATATTCTGTATCCACCAACTAATAATAGGTATACCTAATATTATAAGAATTAAAAATATATAAGTTATAACATGAAGACATCTAAAATAACTTTTGTTCTGTTCAATATTTTTAAATTTTTCTTTTTAGGATAATTATAGCCTAACTTCACTTCCAGCCTTGCACTAAAACTATATATATATTTTTTTTTTAAAACTAAAAATAAAAAATCATTTTTACTAAATCCAAAATAGATATTTTATATATTATATATTTTAGAACTACATAATGACGTTACAAATATTTAACAATGATAAATTCTTAATTTTCTATAATTTTTTGAAGTTAATGATATCTTAAATTTTTTTCGGTGTCACTACTAAATAATATCAATCAATTGGTCGATTTGTTCATGAAAAATAATTTTGTTATTGATTTTCGTAAACATTACAAAATTGTAAAAAGTGAACAATACGTCATTACAAAATGTTGATAACACCAATATTGTATTATGAAATATATATATAAATTCACTATTTTGTAATAACAGTTTTAAAAAACATAAAATAGAGGAATCATAGGGCAAGGTTCAAAAAATGATTACAAGTAAAAATTTAAAAAAATTAAAAGAACAAAATTCTGTTGTAAATTACCTAAAATTCCTACCATATCATAAAATAAATTAAATTAAATGTATTTCAGATGTCAGATCTTTGTGTTATACCTTGTATAATAAATAAAAAGCCACAAGTATTATTAAAATATTATATCATTGTTATAACTAGTTTTGACTTGAAGCCATGATGGCATCAGATAGTAAAAGAATATTAAACGACAAAGAAATTAATTGTCACTATCTCAAACAGTCTTATGTTTAAATTAAATATCTGTGTAGTTTACCTATCTAGCTGTTTTGAATTATTATTAAAAACTAAAAATATATTAAATCAGTTTATTTTACATATTAAAGAATTCAATGTGATGTCAATATCTATATGTTATGTACAAATAAGGAAATCAATATAATGCAATTATAAAATATTTTTACTCTTAATATGAGAATCCAACAAATGTAAAAATATTTTATAATTATTATGGTGTACTTTGAGTAAATATTTTGATTCCTTACCTACAAGCATTTTTAATAATTAAAAATTAAAATTATTTTTAATCTTTACCTTTTTTACTAAGTAGCTACTTATCTATTTATTTTTACTATGTTCAATTTCAAAACTTTCACTTTTTTTGGTCAGAATAAACAATACAAGTCTATGACTAATAATATTAAGTTGCTTTTAATTTTTTATTGGATTTGTTAATATAAATGTACCTTTTACTTATATTAATGTGTGTTAAAATTTTGTTTAGTCTATACTTTGTTTTTACCTTTTACTTATATTAATGTGTGTTAAAATTTTGTTTAGTCTATACTTTGTTTTACTAAGTTTGTTTAGTCTATACTTTGTTTTACTAAGTAGCTATTTATCTATTTATTCTTACTATGTTCAATTTCAAAACTTTCACTTTTTTTGGTCAGAATAAACAATACAAGTCTATGACTGTCTACACACGAAGCTATTCATTAGAAACTAATTACTGATGATAATCACTAACTAGTCCGTTTTGAGTCACAACGTATGTTATTTAATGGAACACAACAGACAGCGCTACTGGTTACTAATTAGTCACTAACGTGTTATTGATCAATTCGAAGTGATTCAATTATCGAGTCACTTCCGAATCGCGTCACATACTCTCGTCGAATTCTGTGCATTTTTAAAATCTAATTTTTTGTAATTATCTTATATTAGGAAAAATAAAAATATGAATGAACAAATAACTAACGTAAAGTTGGTAGAAGAAGTAGAGAAAGATCCTATTTTATACAACTTTATTAAACATTTCTTTCGATACATGGATGAACGCAAAATCTTCTTCGTCTTCTACTTATTTAGATATAGTAATAGTAATATGCGATCATCATTTCATCACTAAAATTATCCATAGTGTTGAAAAATGCTGATGCAAGTTCTACTTCCATAACCAACCAGTCAACAGAATAAACTAGTGGTTTCGATCACTTTTCAGTAAGCTTGTGTGCGGATCTGTCATCAATGCGTTAGTAATCGATAAGTTATTTACATCACAAAATCAGTTTAGTTTTGAATGAATAACAGCGTGTGTAGATGGCCTAGAACATAAGAATAAGTTGCTTTTAATTTTTAATTGGATTTGTTGAAATAAATGTACCTATTACCTACATTAATATGAATGGTTTTTTTTATTTCATAACAAAAAGTGATAATACTAATTTAGCCAATTTACTAAATAAATATTAGGTGTTTGCGTATTATTAATAAAATTATAATTCCTAATGAATTATTTTCATATGTATTTATTTGTCAAAATAATATTTATTCAATGGGGAATGCTGACAATGCTAAAATATTAAAAAAATATTAATAATAATAACAATTTATTCAACTCAAATCAGGTTAGGTAAAATTGATATGTAACACAATTGTAAATTAAATTTATTTATAAGCTGATTACCAGATTACCATTCTCTTTAACCAGCAACCTAGTGTTTGTGGCGAAGAGGTCTTCAATATTATAAATTAAAATTTAACACTAAAATAAATATAAATACAACAAGAAATACATAGTAAATATTAAGTATACAATATTAAATATTTTAAATATTAAATTAAATATTTGAGATGATGAGAAATGTGTTTAAGAGTCTGACCACAAAGCAATGAAATAGTATCTGAGTGAATGGGAATCAAAATAAACTGTAACAAAAAACTATAGTCCAAGAATAAAATGAGAAATCAAATATACAGAAATAATATAATAATTACACAATATAATCTAAATCGATTTATTCTCGAGTAGATAATTTTGTGTTGATGTAGAGTCAACTGTCGATTTAAAATAATTGTTCTCGAACCAGTGTCAGACACTGGTCCAATACCAAGTTTTGAGTACAGAACCCCTGTATACCAATGAACCAGGACATCAGTGTTAAAATAGTGACATTGATAGGGTTCCGACACTACATAAACGTATATATTTTATAGTAAACAATTCGGACATTTGATACTAGTGTTGCAGCCGTACACACATCCGCGTTCATATCGTCCGTGTCATTTTCGATGTCATATCGGCGCGGCGGCCGTCTTATCGCGCGCTCTGCGTTTATGCGCCGCACGCGCCCGGCATTACGTGAGTTAGTGAAGTGCAAGCAATTTCGCCGGCTGCGAAACTGGTCCGTGCACCGACGACATCGCGTCGCTCTGTCTCCCTGGCCTTTGTTGCGAGTTCAGTCGTTTTTCTCTCCGTGTGCCGTAACGTATGTTATTTCTTTTACGCCGTTGTGACATATATATAAATATATACCTATACTCTTAGTGTCGCACGCGTGCCCCTTGGCCGCCCTTCGTGCGTGAATCGTACCTACCACGCATTTGCCGTTGCCGCCCGCGTCATCCATGCCGGGAGCAGTCACCTGCGCACCACGCTGCCGGACCAATATTCATCAATCAGGTTCACGGTCAGCGTACCGCCTATTTAATTTTTACCCCTTAATCGTAAGTATTGAAAATGCTTGTATTTTAGTAATAAGCAACCCCCTCGCCCTTTCTATTGTCGTAGTAATTTAAGTATAATTTAATTACTTCAATACATAACATAGTAACCACATACAATCCATATTCATTTTCTTCTTTGGTCACCTAATATATCCGTCCTGTCCACCAGTCATTACCCGGTCGGCGATAGTCAAACCTCGGGGCTGGCTACTAAACACTAGGGATGGTTGTAGCCACTGTTGAAGGTGAGATGCCTAAAGTTATTTAATTAACAATTTAAGTAACAATAAACCATTGCTAACGAAAAACGATTCTGAGTGAAGTTCGGTATACATGTTTGTATACACATTAGTTATTTTCATGGACAATTATAATACATTTTAGTTCATGGCTAAAGATTTAAGATAGTGATCCATTGCAAATCATTTGTTTTTGAGCTATAGAAAAATTGATTTAGTTTAATTAAATAAGTAATTTGGTACAATTTCTATGTATTATTTGGTATATTATATTTTATTTAGTAAGTACACAAAAACAATAATTTTTGGTAGAGCAATTTCTGAATATGAATTATAATATAAAATTAACCTTGTATATGCATATGCAAGTATATCTAATACAAATATAAAATTTTATCACAGAAAAATAATTTTTAATTAATTTTTGTAAATAATCTGTTCAGATTCAATTTCTATAGTGGCAGCATCATATTCTATGAGCCGATTTAAATACTGAGTATTACGAAATGCTGCAGCTGGTGTTAAAACACCCCTGTAAAACAATAAAAAAAAATATATATAAATATCTTAATATCAAATGTTTTCCGAAGGTAATGAGATCTATGACGATTATTAATATAGATTTGAATATAACAGAAATGACACATGATTATCCTCAGAAAACAATTAAAAGTAAAAATATCTATATGTAATAATAATCACAGCTTTGTATAACATACAATATTTATTTATACTAATTTTTTTGAAAAAAGTATTAAACATTGAATTTAAATGTTTACATTAATATATTTTAAATATGATTAACATAATAAAGCAACCTTTTAATAACATTATCTCTTAATATTGTGACAGCTGCTAATACAATTGCTTTGCTAGTGAACCCATAGCCAGGATTTTTTGCTTTAAACTATAAATACATAAAACAAATGAAACATTCATTTAAGTAAAACTTAAATAGTAAACAAATTACCTTAACAATAGTTTTTTTAACACCATGTTTTATTTCATTTATGTTTGTTTCAGATTGAATAGAAACTGAACCATAACCAATTAAAGTTAATAGCATCCGTCCATTTTCCATTAATTTTTCATTTGGACCCGTTTTTGTAGCAATGCCAAACGAAAATATTTTTGGAAACTGTAAAAACATTAAATAAATATTTGTACAAATAATTTTTTCTAATATTAATTTTACTTGAATAAAAAGTTTTCTGATAGGTTCAAATTTAACCATAAATGACAAGATGGCAAACATTAATAAAGCAATTATGGCTGTTATCAAACTTCCAAAAACTATATAGTTCCTGGCATAGAAATTGTATGGCAGGTTATCTTTAGTTTTAGCATGATGAATTGATCGGACAATAACTGATTGATCTGGTTCAGGAAATGCTAAACACCATTTTTTCTTGTCCTTTTTAATACTAATGTTTTGCTTATGCAAAATCCTTAAATAATTAAAACACTGTTTCTATTAGGTGCAAGCATATAATATATACCATGAAAGATACATCTTTATATGTATAGATATTTATCAACAACTAAATATTATGATTGTTTTATACAAAATTTGTAATTAGTAATTCTATAACATTAAGAATATTATTTATGTGCTTTTATGTATGTGTTGCTTATTGTGCAAATATTAATATAATTTTCTTGAAATACAAGACCTGTATCTATATATAAGACATAATTCATAATGGCATACTTTAAAATAGTAGGATTTACTCGATTTATTCCCATTAATTCATCTAACAAAGTTCTGTAATATAAACGCTGTTTTTGAGTAGATAAATGTAATATTGCACTTATCCAAGTTCCTTCGTGGATTAAAGCACTCTAAAATAATAAATATAAAATAAATTAACACTTAAGTTGAAACAAATCTGATTAATAAATGTCACTTTTACTGACAATTTTCTGTTCTTATTGATTTTTTTTCTTTGTGGAATATTGTAAAAATATTTTATTTGGCAATAACAAAAATAGCTTTTAACAATAATGAAACTAAAGTCTCATTGAAAAATATTTGTTTACTCAAATATGTCTTATATCAATGTATTACTTGGACAATAACAGTAGAAGAATAAAAAAAAAAGTGGTGTTATAGAATAATGTTAAGGATGAGCTGGACGGATAAAGTAACCCATAATAAAGTACTGGAAGAATATTGGCAGGAAAACTATTATTGATAAGTAGATATGATAATTATGAAAATTGGGTAATATACACATGACTCGGCTAATATGAATACTACCCATACCTATTAGAAAAAGTAAAAATATTATTTGTAAAACATTTATTTTGTACATTAACTACAAAATATGTCTACCATATACATTTATTAGAAGCATAAATAGATACCTACTATAATAATAACTTGGTAACCCAGTTGTTCAATTTAATAGTTAATACCTATAGCTCAAAATATATATAATAATAAAATATGTCCAATATTCCTTTTTTACAGATAGTAGAAAATGTGTATAGTTGTATGTAGAAATAAAAGCACATGTTAGAAAAGAATGGAAAAACACTGCAAACCAATCTATAATTTGTTATTTTTTTATATTAGGTTATTATGGACATTTAATTTACTAATAACTATAAATATGTATTAAACTTCTTAAGCAAGGTTTACAAGAAGTGAATCTGATACACAAGGCTGCCTCACCAAATAGCTATTGCTTAGCAATAATAGATAAATATTAGTTAAACACCAGATTAAAATCAAAAAAATATAACGAAAAAAATTTTAACATGAAGAATTCATGAAAATACATAGGAACACCTATTAAATATATAAACTAAGATTTAATATTTAATTTATATAAAAAAAAAAATGTTGACCAAATCAATTTTCTTATATAATATAACAAAAAACATAAAAATATTTTTAATTAAGGTATACTGATAAACAATATTAATAATAGAATGATTGAGAAATGTCGGTAAGTACTATATAATAAAACTTTTGGTACAATCAAATAAAAACCATCAACCAAATATTATTTTTTATGCTGACCAATGATTTTTATGGCAACATAATTGAACACACATTACTTTAATACAGTCCCTCCTATCCAATGTGTTTACACATGAGGCTTAAACACCCCCTAGACCACAAGAGGTATAACTGACATTTTCAAGAAAATCTAAATTAAGTGAACTACAAATGTTTCATTTTATTTTGCGGCAAAGAAATATAAGATAATTATTCATCATGTACTGTGATCTAGTATCAAATACTAGATCTCACTAAAATAGTCTTATATTAAATACAAATAACTTTCAACTTGGTGATCTCAAAATCAATAAAATGTCACTTATACCCTTTGTATTCTAGGTACCTCACATAATATCTAAAATTAAAATACAAAAAAAAACCAAAATTAAATTACTTACAGAAGGAAATGCATTTGAAATACTGTATAATTTCATGTAGATGTCTACATTCTTCAAATCTCCTATAAAATAAGAATATTAATCAATTATAATTTTTAAAACTAATAATCAATAAACCATTAAAATACCATTAAAATTATTGTATAAATATTCCACACCAATATCAGCAGGAACACTTTCCATTCCAAGAGCACTTATGATAAGCGAATTATTTTCTTCAGCCTTACTATTATATAAAAAGGCCATTTTCTCCATAAACTATAATTACATAGTAATATAAGTGTTGAATCTTTTATCATGAATCAATGATAAAAAATAATTTTGAATTTATTTGCTTTTAGTTTCTTCAGTTATTATAGAACCCTTAAGTTAGGTTCACATGGAACACCTAAACAATTCATGTTAAATGGAATATCCAATAATAGTTGCATGCATATCAAAAGTATTAAAAAGTATTTTCTTTTGGAATCTAAGTTAAATAAGTGGGATCACTATTAAAAGTTCAAAAGCTGATATATGTTTCTGAAGTAACCATAAAATGTTGAGAATATTTTAAACAAGATCATTAAATAATACTATAATAACTGCATTTTCTAGATTATTATATATTTAAACATCAAGAGGTATAACTCACTAAACTTTCACCAGTGACATCTAAGTAATGAGTAGAACACAAAACACACGATTTAACAACAACTTCTCCATAAATATAATAAGGTCCAACACAATTTATAATCACAGATGTACTTAGTGCCATTTTCATAACAGATTTAATATCATTTAAATCAGCATTAATTATATCAATTTTTTTATCTTCAATACCACCTATACAATATTTTAAAAATTACATTCAAAACTCATTGAAATAAAAATAAATAATTATTTATCATGTTTAACAACAATTATAACATAATATTGTGAATATGTCAATAATAAATTACAAATATATGCAGAGTTCAGCCATGATATTTAACACAGTTACATTATTTTAATATGAATAAAATAATATTTAAATAAAATAAAAGTATAAATTCTTAAACAATTTATAATATTATAGATAGGTACTTAAAATTAACAAATATCTTCTGAACTGATGAACATGCTTATCATAATTTTATAGAAACAAAAGACACCATTGTTGTTTTAAAAGTTAAAAATGTAAACAATACACAATGGTGTTTAATGTTCCTTCAAAATTGAAAGCCCTTATTTATTGATGAATTAAACTTTGGTAAAACTAGTTTATTATTATTTTATAATAATTGTCTAATCACATTAATAAATGTAACTTACTCTGAGTTTTATACATTTTATCTAATACATTTTGTAATTTGTTTGTATTACGTCCAGCTATGGCCCAGGTTAAGTTGTAAATTTGAGAAAAAAACCCCATTTCCATAACTACAAATTGTCCAGTAAATCCAGAAGCTCCAAATACTATTATGTCATATTTGCGTTTAGAAGTTTGGGACATTTCTTCTTCTAAATTGCTATTAACAATATTTTCTTCCAAACTTAGATTAACCATTTTATTCTAAAAGAGATAATATAAAAACAATTAACAACAATGCAAATAAATGTTTTATACACAATAGATAAATATAGTGAAATAGAATAACTGATTTTAAGTTATGCATTTAGGTAATTTCAATGAGTACATATTATTTGTACACTTTAGTAACTAACACATCTATTGTTTGACAAATAATAAAAACTTCTTATAAGATTAAGTTATATATAATTAATACTTCAGATTTTTAACTCTATGAAGATAGTTTAATCCATAGTTACAATATCTATTTAATAAATTGGATTTCTATTAGCTCCATTTCATAGCCAAGCGTATCACCTGCTTTTTCAGGTTGGTAAGTTCGTTAAAAGCTGTACCCGTGGATTGTTGGTCCAGTGTATGGACACTGGATTGACTATGCATTGAAATGTTCACAGTTAAGCGTTCAATACACAGGGTTTATTAACTCATAAACATTTATATTCATTTATCAAGGCAAAACAAGTAAAAATATATTAAATTTAATGATGAATATTGATAAGTACAGAACTTTATGTTATTGAAGTGGAAGTTCGGAGAAATTTATGACACGTTGACGATGAAAAATATAAAGATTAAATTTTAAATCTTCATACAATATTGAAAAACTTTTAAAATTCTTAGTCAAAGTATAGGATCCACATACTCTGCTTTAATTTACAGTTTTTATTTTTTTTCACATTCATTTTTGACCAGACACCACTGACTCGATGAGTAGTACAATTACGAAATGCTTCAAAACTATGCATCAATGTGAAAACATCATACGGCGTGTTTGAAAATGTGTATTATACACGTCAAGGTGAAACGAGCCTAAGATGCAACCATCTATTATTCTAGTACCATCAGTCCAAGTTATCCTAAATACACAAACCTATTATTAAAGTGGCATTCAAAATTAATTTGATAGCTATTAATACTTAGTATTACCAAATTATATTAATCAAATAGCTAGTTCAAAAATACACAAACGTAAATTAGTAAAGAATTCTAGATTTCAAGTTTTACTTAATGATGTCTAATCCCACTGGTCGAAAAATATACTATTCACATACTCTTCGGGTTCATGGACTGGATTAAACGTATATGACAATCAAATATCGAAGACATCTAATATCAAAATAATAAATGCATTCAGACCACCACACGCTATTTTCAGGGCCCGACCCAATGGAAATACTAAGTGGACATTTGTTCTGTCTGCTAAATCTTTCACAACAAAATAAATTTACCACTGTAAAATCAGATAATTACCTTACTATCGTTGTCTGTTGGTAGAAAGTCGAATAGCGATCTATCGATTTTACATTGGATGAGTACACGACTATGACTCGAGCACCGACCATCAAACAAAAAAATACAAAAAATTTCACCCAACGTCCAGAAAAGCGTCACTGCGTTGTTGTGGCAATTATATTGTGTTTGTGTGCCGTGTAGACAATGGAATATGGATGACGATGTGTGTTAACGGACAGTTGTACAATCCTGTATGATGTAACAAGTAATATACTAACATGTAACGCACACACGCTGCCAAATGTAATAGTCCGACACCGATTTTGTGGTTATACTACGGTACATAATATTGTACAGTTGTATATTGGTTAAAACCATAAAGTGATTGGCAATATGGTTAAAACCACTGATAATCATGCCCTTATTGATAAAAAATTTTGTAAGATTAAATTAGTTAAGATCATAGTTAAAATTTAAAACTTAAAATTTGAAATATTCTACTTGAAAAACTTCGAATCCACTTATTGTGATCTGTGTAGAGTAATCATTATAAACATAAACCACTAAGTTATAAACATTTTTCGACTAAATGTGGCAACAGCAGGCTTTTGTAATCGATTCCAAATTTAATGCATATAGAACTTCAAACCATCCAAATTTTAGTAAGTCATTAATTATAAAATTAATTTGTTATCCAATTAGTCGATTAAATGTAATATTAATATTTCCTAATATAATCTAGGAACTCTTTACATTAGGAGAAGAAATCAACTTCTTAGAGAAAAATCTAAACAAGAAGTAAGTTTTAAGTGTAAACATTATGAACTTTATTAAGATTTATGAAATTATTTTACTTTTAAAGGATACAATTCAAAATATGACAAGTCATTCAAGAAAAAAATATTTACGTATTCGATCAGCAATTTTACAAAACAGATACAATGTTTTTTTCGATAAGCAGTCATATAATGTTCGTTGTGCTAGTAAATATAAATATATATTAATTTCACTTTTCATGTATAAATAACAATAAGATTTAATTGTGTAAGAATCAAAATCTACAAGATTTATAGGGAATTTATTTTTATTTATTATTTACAGAGAAACATTACTAGAAGAAAATGTTAAGGGAATAATATTTTTTTTATCGTTATTTTTACAAATTTTCTAAATTTTGATTATTCATTGATCTATTTTTATTTTTTATAGATAAGTTTAAGCAAAGATAAATTATTAGAAATAGATTCATTATATCGAAACTATGATGTTTTACCTACTTCTATTTCAAACACTCAAAAATCTATGGTTGGCAATATCGAAGAAAATGAATTATTCACTAACGTTCATCACATTTACGATCAAGTATATTGATGATATTTATACTTGTATACAATTCAGTTTAATAATTTTGTTTTTATTGGGAATTAGCATTCAGAAGCAGTAACTATGTTGAAATTTGCGAATAATAATAAATCTAAATTATGTTGTGCTTCAAATGATGGAACACTTAGTATCTGTGATGTTTTGACTTCACCACCAAGTGTAAAAGCTATATTACGATGTCATACTGGGCCAGTTACTGGTAATATTATATTATTATATTAATATATTATACATATTTACTATCTATAAACTATTTGATTATTTACAATTCACTACAGATATGCATCATATATATTGTGTAATTTTAAATTTAAATCTAAAAACTACACAGCGTTATATTATATGGGGTGAATTTTTTAGGTTAAATGTATTCAAGTTCTAAATTTTGGGATTTTTAAGTGTAGCTCAAGTCAATATTTTCAAATAATTAGATTTTTCATAACATTTAAGAAGCTGTGGTACCAACTTTAGTTTCTCATTTGAAAAATCTAAGTATTCAAAAATATCTTAAACTACACAAAAAATCAGAATTTGATTATATGCAAAATTTAACCAAAAAAATGGAGTGAGCATGCTTAGTGAATCATCCTATGTATAACTGTTTTTTAATATTACAGCTGTAAAATATTTACACCAACTATTTTAAGCTCTTTTCAATCCCCTCTACCTCCAAGGCTAGTTCCAATTCATCTAGAACTTTGGAATTTGAAATATAAATAGTATTAAAGGTAAATATTACAAAGATATCAAAAACTAATTAAAATCTAATTTAGTGGGAGTGGAAGTAGGTTTTATTTATAAATGAATGTGTATAATAATTAGGATGTGTGAGAATTTTTGGAATTTTACTGAAATTGCTTTGTAGAAAAAATTTTTTCACACTAATAGATAACAAAATGCCAAAGATGCAAAATTTAAAAATCATACTGATTTTAACATAATTTGAAATTCCTGACAAGTATCAGTAGTTTTTTTTTTTAATATTTAATGCTTACAAGCTATGTTTTGGATTAAGTGAATAACTAAAATTAAAACTAATTTTAATAATATTTTGTTTCAAATTCAAACTTTCTATTAAAAACTATTAAAAAGTCCTTCATCAATTTTATATCTTCTTCTCCTTTGCTTTCATTCCAACTATTTTTGTTTGGCCACCTGTATTCTAAACATCCACTTCACCTGATTCTCTGAATTTTCTTCATATCATTCGCAATGACATCTAACCACTTCTTTTTTGGTCTGCCTCTTTCCCTCTTTACTCTTACATCTATTTTTATTAGGTCGCCACCTGCTATCTTTTTGCAGTAAGCAATTTGTTTCCTTATCCCTGTACTTCCATTCCCTGTATGTTATCCAAGAAAAATGACTAACTACCAAATCAGCTCACTGACGATTCCTATATGCTACCTGGCACTTGTAGCTTACTACTATACCAGCAATTATACGGGTTCTTCCTTCATGTACTGTTTGTCTACTAGATTATACTGAATTCCCATTATGATTAAAATTATATTGTACTTGTACTTACTCTTGATTAAACCCATTTTTTCTTTTGCTCACCTTTAATCCAGTAGATTATATTTATGTACTACTAAAATGTATCACAAAAATCACAACTTTTATCAGATGACTTCAATAAATTTATCTTTCCCAACAACATTATCTGTGTATACACCTACCACTCTCATATCATTCTCAACCTTCAACTACTCCTTATTTGGTCTTCCTCTCCTTTCTTTCCTCCTAAGTCTATTTTCATAACAATTCTTACTGCTTCTGATTCTTCTCTCATCATAGGGTGTCCAAACCATCTCAGTTTATTTAGTCTCATTTTGTTCACTACCAAAGCCACACCTTTTACTGTTTCTTATGTACTGATTCCTTATTTAATCTTCCCTAATTACCTAAATATTCTCATCTCTGTTACACTCATTCTCTGTTCTATCTGTCTACTGTCTAACACTCCAAATCATATAACACATTGTTGGTCTCACCACACTCTTGTAGAACATACCTTGTGGTCTTATTGGAATTCTCTTGTTACATAAAACACACCTACGTTTCACATCCACATCATAGCCACCTTTTTTGAACAAAAGATCCTAGGTACTTTAAGTTTTTAACCTCAAAATTAACCTTTTTCTAAAAGTCGATATGTAAACTGTGGAAAAAAAGATTTAACATTATACAATCTGCTGCAATTTATTTTTCTATACCTTCTATTTATACCATATATTATATAATATATAGTTTAATTGGTTAAATTGGTAAGATAAATCCAAAAGTATTTTTAAGTTTTAATGAAACATACTAAATATCAGTTCCTTTACTTTTGATAATACTAGTTAGTCCCTACATAAAAATGTTAGTTATCAGTAGTAGTTCCAAGTTTAATATTTAATTCAACATGATGGAATTTACAACAATGTTTAGCCAGAATAGCAATGAATTCAGTGTAAAACAATTTTAAATTCAAAATTAAATATGAATCAAAAATAAATGGTTATAAAACATGCAAGGCCAAATTGTTCTTCAACCTTATTGATTATGGAAATCCCTGAACCATTTTTCTGTAAACTTGGCCAATCAATAAACTTTTTTCTGATCTTCCTTTTTTTCCTAGTCTCAATCAACTTATCATATTCTTAGCTTCCTTGCACAGTCAATTTAAAATATTTTTGATTATTTAAAGTATATTATATATTATTATGTTCTACAAAATATTAAGTTACTGCTTTCAATAATAGTAATTTATTAATCATATTTTCTTCAGGATTTGATTGGTCTACATCAGATGAATTAATAGCAAGTTGTTCCACTGATGCAACAATTTGTTTTTGGGATTCTAAACAATATTGTTGTTTAAGGTGTGTCAATGATTTATTTTATTCATCTGTATTGGCATGTATATTTAATCCAATCAATAATAACATTCTTATAGTAAGTTATTTTTAAATTTATTATTAAAAATGTAGTTGTATAATAATTTAAATAATCAATTCAGACAGGAAACAAAGCAGGATATGTGTGTGTATTAAATGTTTCAACTGGTATGTATCCTAAAAATGGCCAAGTAAAAATAGGTGGTGAAATTTTATCTCTAGCTGTTAACAATAGTGGACAAATAATTTGGGTTGGAAATGACAAAGTAATATTTTTTAGTTATTTTCTTTTTAAAATTTTAAACTATTTCTGTTTAAAAAAACAAAAAGTACATTGTTAATTAGCTATAGGTAACTAAATTATCTGATAAATTAACAATACCTACTAATGTTTCTAAATGTATAGGGTGACATTGTATCTCTAAAATTAAACAACAGTGATAATAGTTATCTTACTAAATGCCATCGAGTTATAACATCACCAAATCGTGGTGCCATTACTTGTCTAAGTTGGAAAACATGGATAAGCAGAAAGGCAAGAGATCCAATGTTATTAGCGAATTGTGGAAATAATCGATTATATCTTTATAAGTTTGTAGAATAAAATAATGTTAAACTAACAAACCAAAATATAATGATTTTATTATACTTAGAGTTTCTGAAAATGATGATTCTTCATTGACATTAAAAAAACAATTTATAATTCCTCATACTCATGGCAAAAACGTATTGCGTTCAGCATTTTGTCCAATAATGTCATTTCGACAGGGTGCATGTGTTGGTATGTATTATAATTTTTATTTTATATTCAATTTACAAATAATATTAATTTTCATTTTGCAGTTACAACTAGTGAAGATTCTTGCATTTATTTTATAGACATAGATAAAGAGTCAAATTATTTTATCAATAAACTACAAGGGCATGCCTGTTTAACACTGGGTGTTTCATTCAACTACAATGAAACTATTTTAGCAACAAGTGATGTACAAGGAATCATTATTATTTGGTCTCAGCAATGTCAAAAACAAGAACAATCTTTATAACTAATTAAATAATTTTTAATCATTCAATTTTAAGTTAAAACATTCTAATAAAATTATTTAGTTTTTTAGATAAATTTGTAATTAATGAAATAATATATCAATGTTTATACATAGTTTAATAAATATTTAACTAAACAAAATTATAATTAAATAATAATACAATAAAAAAATACATATATTATTCTTATATACTATATTAATAAAAAAAAAAAAAAAATAATGTTAATTTTAAATTGCTGTAACCCAATACCTGAAAAGAAGAGGGAAAAAATGGCATTTGTCTACAATGTGAAATAAATAAAAAAAAAATTTTTTGTTTAAACAACTAATCTTAATTTTACTTGGACTTCCAGAATCCAATAACCTTATACAAATATATAAAAACTTAAAAGACATATTTGCTAAAAGATCTCTTATACATTTGTAGTTTCTAAAGTAAAATATAATAAATTTAAAAAAGTAATACAATTAGTTTTAAAATGGAAGAAATATAAAGTTAAATAAACATCATTAAATGTATTTATAAAAACCTTGAATGTTTTTGATACATTTCCCAGCGTATATCATCAGATTCATGTGTCAAAAATCGAGTACTATCCCCTGTTGATTTTTCTAGTTCTCTTAAATCACACCAAGTTTGATAATCCTAAACATATCAATTACTTAAATATATTTTGTAATATTTATTAATTTCCAAAAAACCATTGTCTTAATTAAAGCCCTCTACTGATATTAAGTTTTAGTTTCCAAGTCAATTTTAAATTTGTTTTTAATTATCAAAAACTTGGAATAATGTTTAAAGAATAAACTACTTAAAAATGCTAAAACATTCAGTTATCTGTAATATATTTACCTGTAACCATGCATGTGCCAATGATTTATCTACTGTAAATCTCTTTCTTTGTTTCACTTGTAATAAATTAGTTATAAGATCTATGGCTGAAAATAATTAATATGACCATTATTATATTCCACAAGTATGATATGAATAGTGATATTAATATTACTTTAATTTTTAAATGACTAATTAAAAATATATACCATCTTGGGAAATTTCTTTCCATGGATTTTTGGGATACATAAAAGCTGCATTTTGAATCTGATCTATAATATCCTCATCTTCATTAAAAGGAAATGTCCCACTTAAACTAACATATATAATCACTCCTACACTCCACATATCCAAAGATCTATTGTAACCTTTATTTCGTAAAACCTCAGGTGCTAAAATTATAATATAGTATTTAAGTGTTTAAATACTTATATATTATTTTAGACTATAAATAATATAATTATTAATACTTACCAAGATAAGCGGGGGTTCCAACAACTGACCTTCGAAATGATTTTTCACCTATTATCCGAGCGAACCCAAAATCACATAATTTTACTTGTGGAAAATCAGAATTTGAACTAAGTAGTACATTTTCAGGTTTCAAATCACAATGAACTATATTTTTACTATGTAAGTGTTTCAATGCTATTAAAATCTAAACACATTTTAAGAAAAAAGTAATTGCACTTTAATTATTAATATTAAAATATTAAATAACTAATTATTTCAAGTTATACATATTTTGAAAGGCTATAATATTATTTACGATTTTTATCAAAATTGTATGGTAAAACTAAAAAAAAAAAAAACTACATCACATTCAATTTTTTTTTACTACTTAGTACAACTTATAATGAACCTCCTGTCATATTTTCAAACATTTTTGTTTAGTCTAATAATTTAATCCATAGAGTAGGTACCTACCAAATAAAAATTACAAAAAATACTCTCAAAATTATAGTGTCTATAAATAGCTTAAACATTTTTCTTAGTTCTCAACTAGATTAAAAATGAAACAAAAGTCTTTTGTAATTCTTTTACTAGAACACTATTTATGGTATAAACTGTAGACATTTTAATTAATGACATTGTTATAATTAGACATCAAATATGACTTTCTCTAACAGTAATGAAATATTAAAAGGAACAAAATCGATCTTCCGTTGTTTTTTAATTAGAGCAAATTTTTGGTAGAAAACACCCTGTAAACAAATTAAAAACAGTGAAACTGGTAATACCAGTGCATGCCATAAATGTTTACAATTTTCCTAATTATTTTGAAAACCCATTGGAAAATCAAAAACATGACCTGTCTAATACACTAACTAAACAGAATTAACTGTCAGGTAAGGTACTACACTGCTACACTATACATTGGAGCAAGATTTCAAATTGAAGAGTTGTTAACACACATTCACAAATAAAAAAAAAAAAAACAGTGAACTGAATGATTCTCTTCATTCAGAATCTAATATACATTTTTAAAGCACAGCTATTTTTATAAAAACCATGACCATTTTTAGATAAATCAAAATTTACTTAAAATAATCATTTTTATGGATCACAATAATAATTTATTGATTTATAATTACATATTCAATATTTATTCATGTTTATCTAATAAAGCAATAGAAATAATAATATATAATAGTATAACATTATAGGTTTGTCAAGAGTCATAACATACTTGAGTTATCAAAAATTTAGTAATACGTTCAGATAACCGTCTACGTTCACTAGATAGAATCATTTCTAACATATCACCACTTAATTTTTCCATGACAACAAAAATGCGCTCTGCTGTCTCAAACATGCAATCCAAATTGACTACACTAGGATGTTCCAATTTTCCAAGAATAGCTACTTCATTTTTTAAGGCAGCTTCTTGCTTTGTAGGAAATCTTAGTTTATCAATAACTTTAATAGCCACTATTTTTCCAGATTTTCTGTGTTTACCTAAAATAATGAAACAAAATTAATATATATCTTGTTAAAACTGAATTTAGTGAATTTAGTTTTTCAAATCATACCTCCATAAACAATGCCAAATTGACCAGATCCTAATATTTCCTCAGGGAATATTTGATATAAAAGGCTCATATCTGTAATTTGTGATTCATTTGTTGATTCAATAACTGACCGTGATGCTGTACATCATATACATATATTAATTAATAACTTAAAAAAAAATCAATCATTATTCTCACATAATAATTTATATGTGTACATTAAACAAATGCAAAACAGTGATTATATTTAGTATTTCAACTCTATAACTTAATAATTATGATGCCCTAACTTGTCCAGTGTATTGTTATAAGCTTGTGAACAATTTTACTACATCTATTATGTCTGTGTGCTAAGTGTTTACATTAAAATTGTGTAGATTTCAGAACTAAGAATTGTTATATTAGTATACCTAAATTATAATATTAAAAGGTAAATTAATTTAATAATTTAAAAAAAAAAACACCTTCATTATTCAAACAAATATAACTTACAAATATTCCAAAATATATTTTCATCAAACAGCATAAAGGATAAACATATGCAAATGACTTGTTCTATTTGAAACACTAATTTTTTTTTCTAAAAAAAAATTGTAATATTGTATTATTTTAATTATTTTTTATGTTAAAAATGTATTAAATACCTATCCATAATAAATTACTAATTAACAGACAAGTTAAATAGGTACATCTTCACAAATATTTACATCATATGGTTATTTCAGATGATTATAATATAAGTAATATGCAACACATTATTTGACACAATATTGGAACAACATGTTGTGATTAGAATATTAAATCATTATTTTATTATATTAGTTTGTTGACATATAATTAATCAGCGATTTAAGTTTATGAATTAATTAATTTTTATGTATATATATTATAAACAAATTAAATCCAAAATAAATTAAAAATTTCAAATGCCCTTAAGTTTCAAAATTTAACTAAAATTATATTATGTTTAGAAAATAATAATACAGGTACTTAAAATATACAGGATGATTCTTTTATCATGAATTTGCATTTTTCTCAGAGGATTTAAGTGAATTTAATTTCTGTTTTTTTTTTTTTTTTTTTTTTTTTTTTTATCATTATTTATATTGATTAAATTTTATTTAACACTATTTTTAATTTTAGATCCTAAGTGGAGCAAAGAAGCTTATGGTTTTACAAAGATGTTAATTTTTTTTTTTTTATCTGTGCTCAACTTTTTTACCAGAAATCTTGGTTTGATTTTTAAGTGTAGCAACTTTTCTATAGTAAATCGGACTGTAGAGATTATAATCTCTCTAAAGTATCTTCCTAGTCAAAATTCCTTTCAGACAAAATCTACCATTGTACCATTGTAAACTGGAACAAAATTGTTGGTAGAAAAGTTGTTCACAGATAAAAATAAAGAAATAAAAAAATAAACAAAATTTTAAAATCTAAAATGGATATGACATTATGACTTTTATAACCCTTTCCTATTCCTCCAGTTTAATTTCCAGTAAATCTGACATTAGAGTTATAAATACCAAAATGTCTAGAAAAATATTCTCTACTTGTGTCTGAAAGAGAGGGGTAAATCAAATATGAAAGATCTTTTAATCAATTAAAGCTTACTAAAAGAAGATTAAGAGCTAATCTAAAAGAAGAAAAACTTGAAGAAGCCTTTAGAAGATAAAAAGAATTTCTAAATGTTTAAAGAAATACTATATTATATTAAATGGAGTTAAAAATTAATAAACAAAATGTTAACATAAATATATTACAAATGCATTAATTGTATTGGGTATCAATAAATATATTTGGTTATTAGCTTTTATAGCTCCATGTATTTTCAAACCTTAAAAAAGTTCAACATTTAACCCAAATAGATTATTAATAACTAATAAGGTGAAATCATAATCTGTTTCAGGAGGTGGAATAATCTCCTATTGGGATCTCTGGGTGGTGGGGACTAACACTAATATTCTATTAAAAATCAGAAAGACAACAACAATATGGAATGTACAATTCTTAACAATCTTAAGTTAGAAATACAGTGTTATAGTACTGATATATTAAGCATAAGTGAATTAAAATGACCAGGATAAGATGATTTCTGATAAGGAGAAAATAGAATAATTTTTGTAGAGAATGATCATAAGATAATATGTCCAATTTTAAAAAAAGTTACTAGAATAGATCAACGGAACTTTAGATTAATAACTATTAAATTTGACTCAAAACCTGTAAACACTTTTATCATACAAGTAAATATATCACCTTCAAATCATGGAAACAATGAAATTGGTGAAATGTATGAACAAATTTATGAAGTTATAGAAATATCTATTTAAGGGAAATGATAATTTTATAGTTATTGGAAATTGGAATATAGTTTTGGGAGAAACCTAAGAGCAAAAGAATGTCAGGTGCTTTTGAACTATGTAAAAAAATCCAGAGAAGTGAAAGACTTATAGGGTTCTGCAAAATTTTTTTTTTTTAAATGTTTATTATTACAATCTGTAATGATATTTACAGTAAGCATATGAACGGTTAGATATATTATAACCGCATAAGGGAGTGAGGAGAAAAGCTACCCAGCAGTAAGTCAGATCTGCAAAAAGTAAAACATGATTATTATAAACACATTGTCTCATAGCTTAAGCAAACAAGCTATAGGTGGACTATGCTAGAGGATGGAACTAGAAATTAACTAAATTATATACTTGGAAGGAAAATAAACAAAAATCAAGTTAAACAAACCAAAAGCTACCCTGAGATAGACTATAACTTATATTGGAAATATATGAAAAAATAAGCTCTCACTCTAAGCCTAAAAAAGAAATAATTAAAACAATTTCTAAACTCATGCTTTAATAGGTAAATAGTAATAGATAATGTTAATACAAATAATTTCTCTCCTTCTATAAGTATAATGGACATCAAAATTGAGTATAATAAATGATTAAATAGATACATTTAAGCATGAGACACTTTTCTATTAGAATTTATTAGATTATTTATTTATTAAAATTAGATTAATAATCCAAGATTTGGAAAAATACGATAGAACAGGAGACATGCAATATTAAACTTTTTGTAGTTTTTGGTATTTTTAATCTATCCAAGGTTAGGTTAGGTAAAATCAAAACTACAAAAGGACGACTACCTAATTATATGTTTAATAAAAATCTGTATTATTCATAATTTATATTATTAAATCAATATATCAGATTTGAAAAATAATTTATTTTGTTTATATTTAAGCTACTTTTATATAAACTACATGCAATAAATTGATAACATTAATATATTATATTAATGAAAGTTTCTAGTTAAATACAACATGTTTGAATTCAATATAAAATTGGTAATAATTATTAATATGTTATAGGCTTATTTATTTATGTTTTTAACATAATTTTATTAGACCTGTTTTATTAACACACAAACATAATACATTAAAGTTATTTCAACACACAAACATTAATACTTTTTAAGGCTATCACTAAACAACAAACAAGTTAAGACATTACATAAATAAAAAAATTATAATTTTTTAGAAAAAAAAATATAGTTGATAACTTAAGGGAAGTATATATTTTTATATGTACTAACTTGCAGGGTTAGATTGTACAGGCATTAAAGCGTGCTGTATTACAATTTTCCAGGTTTTTTCCCCTTTGGTCCAAACGTTTTTTGTATTTTCAACTTTAATCTCTACAGAAGAATTAGGTTCTTCCCCACCAACATAAAATTCAAGATTGGTTGTTTTAAGTTCAAAACAATGCATTGGACCTAAAGAAAAAATAACACAATTTTTAAATGTGCAATATAAAAATATTGTTTTACAATAGTTAAATTTGATTTATGTTTACAAATACAATGTATATTAAAAATTATTTTGATTATGACATCTATCTTTTACTACCAATTGTAATTACTATTAAGTCACTCTTAACTACCTATTAGTCTTCTAAAAAATAACCCAAAATATTCATATTAGTAATCCATTTATTATTCTTATACATTAGTATATTTATTAAGTCGTAATAGTTTTACAATGAGACTGATGGCAATAATAGTATAAAAAATGTATAACAATAAAAAAAAAAGGTTTAAATAACATGTTTATAAAACTAAAATTATATTAAAAAGTAAATTATAATAGATCATATTCATAAAAATATTTTCTTGCATTTATATCATGATAACATTAAAATTGAATACAAAGTTGATAAATGATAACATAGAAACATTTAAACATGAGGCACAGTTTCCATTTTAAAGGAGTGCTTTCATACATTTACTTACAGCAAGTACTCAATATATGATTGTGGTACTTTCTTTCATATGAAGTGAAAAGGGATAAAATCTAAATCATTCCACAGATTTTGTACTATGAAGAACATACTAATAATTAATGTTGTATGAGGTATTCTTTGATATTTTAACATTTTTTTCTCGAAAGCTATTTTGAGGTGATTAAAAGGGTTGAATCTAATCACGGATTATGTATAAATTATTAATTAAAACTTTATCATGTCTAGTATTCCATTAAATTACCATTCTTGATTTTTTTTTAACTGAATTAAAATAAAAAACTAAATCAAACATTATGATAATCTTACTATCCCATACTTTCTTATTTTTCTAAATTATTAAGAAAATGGCAAGTAAAACAGTAACCTACTCAATGCATCAAATAAATGCAATTTGCTTTTAGAAATATTTCTGGTAGAAGAGTTGTTAACAGACCCAAAAAAGCACACATCATAGCAAAATCAATACATCTGAGATGTACAATGTGGTACAATATAAGACTGTATAATGCTAATTTTGTTTGATAGATATTAAATTTACAATTTTTTTTTTTTATTATTATTGATATTTAATCTATACTTCTTACCAGAATCTCGTGGAATCGTTGCATCATCAATTGAGAGTATTTCAGACAAGGGAATTTCCTTGTAATATTTTGATGTTTTGTCATTTAAATATAAAATAATTGTTTTTGAATCTAATCTCCAATAATGTAATTTCCTCTACATAATATATAATTCATACAAATTACAAATTGTATAAATAAAATTATATAATTATAATAAAAATATACCTGACCATCTTTGTTGGTAAAATGAACTAACCAACCTTCCTTTATAACTTTTAAACCTTGTGTTTTCTTTGAATGTCTGACTGACTGAACAATTCGCATCAATGGAATATTATTACTAGACAATAAACTATTAAAATAAAATGTAATTAAATATAAATAAATAAAGTATAATAAATCTATATTTTAAATTATGATGATTAGAGTAGATTAAATTTTACCTAATATTATTTAAATCATCTTGAGTATTTTCTGTAATATGTCCTATTGCCATATCCTATAAATTATTCAAATAGTACAAATATTATAAATAAATATTTATATAGTTGTTTGCATATATACAGTCTTCCAAATTGTATGTGATAGTAGATTTCACTATGAAATATATAAATGTTTTTTAATGATCAACATGAAAACTTATTGTAATCATAAAATATACTAAATGCATTTGATAGTCATTTCATGATGATAAACAACCCATTAAAATAGATTAAATATAAAACATTTAATACAAAAATGAATCATAGTTCAAAATTATAGAACCTCTTTCAATTAAATTTCAAATGTTATTACAAATAGTGCAATTCTACAGTCTCATAAAATATGAAAGATATATGAGATTTTAGAAGCAAACAATATACTGTAATTGTATACAATAATTTAAACAAAAATTGTGGCAAGTCCATTCACATCATTGAATATACATAGAATAATAATGAATTGGATATGGTTAATTATATCGATGACTCACATAACCATTGATTATATATATATATATAATATACAAATAGCCTATGCAATAATAGTATTTGACGACTATTAGAGTAGTATTAGAGTAGTTAAGATGTAAAGATAGTGATACCCTTTGTCATAGATGGATGACAATATATATCCTCACACATCTTGTCCTGCCTCTATTTAGTGGTTGCCATCTGTATATTGTATAGTCAATGATATAATGGATAAAACCATATCATATCTTAATACTCATTATTATTTAATATTTGTATATGGCTTTATTTATGTATTATGTGCAACTTCTCTTACCATTGGTGGAATATGTGGTAGAGAAGGAGGATCACTATCGCTATCATCATCACATTTATTGCCAGAACATTCATGATCATATTCGTTGTTTATATTATTATCTAAATATACCATTTTGATTAATTAATTTGGTTTAGTAACAATACACTTGTTACATATATAATTTGTTTAATAAAGTATTAAACAAATTTTAATTAACAGCTTAAAATATATTCTTCAAATAACTCATATTATAATATTAAAAAAAAATTGACTAACCATTTAATTCAGTTGTATTAAAATCACTGTTACAATTTTTTGGCACAAATTCCATACACTTTTTGTGTACATTATAATGACAATCCTTACACTGGACACCTTGTTTATAAATTCCTTTAAGCAATTTCTTACAATATTGACATATTGTGGGTCTAGTATATGTATGTACTACAAACATATGTGGTATCTTAACAGGTGAGGGTGACCGATTTTTTCCTCTAATGGGTACACTTAATAAATTTCCCCCAATTCCCTAAAAATTTAAATAATTTGATTATATAGATATACTAAAATAATATACAAAAAAAAAATTGAACATACTGATTCTTCAGAAATATTTGATGGACTGTGTAGTGAAAGATTCAAATTAGAACTATTTGTCTTATTTTTATACTTATACTTTGTATTACCACAATCATTATGTAACTTTACAACGCATCGTTTATGGAAATTTAAATTGCAACCTAATTAACATATTATATAAAATTATACAAAAAAATATTAATAAATTAATTTTTATTTAAATGAAAAATGATAATAATATTATAATGTTTAGACAATGATACAAATTAAAACTACTAGTTATAAGAAATTTATATGGATCATTATCAAATACCTGAACATTTTAAACCTTGTCGTACAATTCCAAATAACATTTGTCCACAATAATCACAAAATGTTGGTGTTTTGTATGAATGTACTACTAATGTGTGAGTTTTAATAACTACACTTTCATCTTCTTCTGATAGTAATTGACCTACAAATATTTAAAAACAATTATATAAAAACCTAAACAAAATTAATTAAAATTAATAATCTAATATATAAATATACATATCTAGAATTACCAGTAAGTACAATTTCAATTAAAGTTTCATCACATACATCAATAACATTGTTAATTGGTACAAGAATTTGATCACATGAATAGTTATGACGAAAAAGTATAATTCTTTCAGCTAATCTAGTTAAACCATGTTCAGGACACTAAAAATTAACATATTTATACTTATTGCTAAATAATAATTAAAAAGTAAATACTAAACACAAACAAAAATCTCATTGAGAAATAAGAATATTACAGTAATCAATCAATTGTATTCTAGACATTTTAAAGACAAAAAAGAGATAAGTTTCCAATAAAAACTAAAAGTTAAAAAAAATATATACAAATTAGATGGTAATACCAACAAAATTTGTAGTTGTGAATTAAATGTAAATTGTCCAATACTAACTTTTATATTGACAAAATCACAAGCCGCTTCTTTTAAGGTTTTTAAAGTAATATGAGATGCATTTATTGTGACTGTGTCACGAATTAACCCAAGTTGTAAAATAAATGTTATGTCTTTATCCTCCATCTTAATAAATATTATTAATTAATGCATATCTAAAAATTGAAAACAAAAAAGTTTTAAATTTATACTTCATTCGATTCAAATCAATTATTTATTTATTTGTCAAAGGAAAAATTGTTACTATTTATCATAAGTACTAATACCAAAATAAAGATCATCTAAAAAAATTATAAAAAAATTAAATTTTAATACGATACATGTTTAATACATAATACAAGTGTACCTTATACTAATCATCAATAACCATGTAATAACTTTTATTAATTTATAATAATAATTAACAATTAGAACAATAACTGTGTAAAATGTAGGTATTTCACTAGTATTTTACTGTATAAATTGACTATCTTAATAGGGACAACTTTCACCAAAATATGAATTAAATAATCAATTTTACGCGAAATACGTGATAAGAACAAATATTTGGTCACTATCATTTTATATCTTTATCTTGCATTATATCTATAAAATATAAGTAATATTTACTACTACAGTAGGTACTAGGTAAGTATCCTACTATCTACCCACTTTACTTCATGTCCACATTGTTAACCATTTAATATTATAATTGTATTAATTTATTATAATTTAATTATTATATTAAAATTTAATTATTGTATTATAATATTAGGTATAATATGTAATCTTTGTCTGAAACCATTCCGGTCGAATTTCTTTCCTATCGCCTAGGTTGCCATATTTCTTGAAGAGAACTTGTCCTAATGTTAGTGATGTACCTACTTACCTTCCTAATCTCCAATTATTTTCTAAAATTAAAGTTCCCCTCTTTTTATTGAAACCTATATGCCAATTACTTGTTTCTTCTTTTATGTCATCCCTCATTTTCTAATCGTATATTTTACGAAAATCTATAAAACCAGTACATACTTAACCTTTATAATGACATGCCACAATATATTATCAATTATCATACCGAGTGTGAAGTTTTACTTTTAGTTCTTTATTGCTTTTTTTTTTGTTTAAGGCATGGAAAGCATTAACACTATTTAGACTGCTAAGCACCCAAATCATACCAAGCCCTATCATACCATTATAGAAGTATGCTCCTCTAGGGAGGGGGTACACAACACCCTTCTTCCCATAAATACACCACTGTATTTACCTACTTTGTACCTACTGCTATAACACCTTTCTTTATATTACTTTGTTTATTTCCCTGGAATTTTGGAGGACATTATGATTATTATTAAATCAAATAAAATTGAAAAAATTATATTTATTCAACATAATTTCTCACTCAAACGATTTTTGTCAAAATTTGATATTAAAATTCCTTTATAAAAAAAAAACTTCATTAAGCTCAAATTTTTTTTCGACCGCAAAGTACGACTTAATAAATCTCCTGTTAAATTGTTAAGCATTTCTGTTAAGTCTGACAATTTTACCACCGAATACTTATCTATCAAATAAAAATGACGTAAAAACCTCGCAAAATTAAAATATCTATAAAATAGTATAAATAGTTTAAAAGGTTTTCCCAATTATTATGAATACTACTTTTTTTTGATCATCTAGATTTTACATCCAAAATGCTACAAAAAGGTCACTTATCATTTATCTATTGAGGCAATATTTTTGGTAAAAAACATAGTTTACAAAAATTTAAAACAATAAAATGGGTATTGTCGTGGATTACCGAAAATATTTACCGTTTTACACATAATTTTATTTCCGGTTTTTTTCAGTTATTTTGAAAATCAAAAAACACCTCTCTAATACATCAGTTAGATAAAATTTCCTTTCAGAAAAGGTACTACACTTGGTATATTAAAACAAGATTTCTTTTCGAAAAGGAAGAAAAATAATACAAATACACAAATCATAGTAAAACCAATAGATTCCTCGCTATGTCCGAATCTAAAAAAAAAATAATAAATTAGTTATGTGTAAAGTTTTTAGTAAGTTTAAGAACATTTGTGAGCTTCTCTGAACTTTAGAGTGAGATTATTTTTGAATGAACATAATATATTGATTGAAATTCCATCTCTAGGGAAAATTCCATATTTCAATAATATGTTTATTGTCATATAGGATAAAAAAGAAAAAGAATGGGGCCCAATATTTAAAAAAATTACATTATCAATACATCAGCTACTAGTGATCAATATATATCTAATGTAAATACAAACAGTATATTGCAGAAGATTATTTCAGGACTAATTTCTTTTATACTATCTTGGATGTAGTTATTACAAATTTTAAAAACGATTTTCACCAAAAAGTCTGATGATGGTTTCATCCATAGATTATTTTTTCAATCTGAATTTTAATGATAGTCTTCATTTTATCAACCCGTATCATATAAATACCTAAAATTATATTACAATATTGATTCATAAGTGAAAATGTAAAAATTAATATATTATTTTATATTTATATTTAGTCTCTAATGGATGTGTCCAAATAATGTTTTAATTTAGAAATGAAAGTTTCAAAAAATGTTGCAATTCCTAATATTGATTCTGATATGAATATTAACATAAAATATATTATAAGAGATTTGTCAGAAAACCAAACAATACTCCCGAATATTTGCAAAAACTATTTACTATGACATTAACAATACCAATCAGTTCGGCTACTTGCAAAAGAAGTTTCAGTGCAATGAGAAAAATAAAAACTTGGCCAAGGACATCGATGCTTCAGGATATGTTCAGCAATCTATCTATAGTGTATATTGAAAAGGATGTCCAAAAATAATAATAGCAATGATAAAATAAAATATTAATTATTTTTAAATATACGTTATTTAGTGTTTTTTTTTTTTATTTTAACTTCAACATATTCATATTTTCATGGCTTAATAATTAAGTTATTAATATGCATGTTTAATTAGCCATGCATATTTTTATTAGTAATATATTATACTAGAGTATATGGTGGGGGCGGGGGCGAAGCCCCTACGGGTCACTTTACATTAGATTATTATAGCCCCCCTAAAAATTCAACCAAATTTCCGTCTATGATTAAGTTTAAATATGTCACATATAGTTATTTTCTATTCTTATATCTATTCAATTTATTAACAATATCAATATATTAATAGCAAATTAATTATACACCCCACGAAACCACGATATGAGTAATAAAATATTAAATACCTTATCATAGTTCATCATAGGATTTCGGATTTTTTGTGTAATTTTTTTATTGTCAGAAATCAGATATCATCTGTTATTATCTACATGAAGTGTATGATATAAACAACTGACGCAGTTGATGTTGGAACAAATTGAAATTGTTCCGAGTTTTCATCATTCGACTATTCGAGAACATCGTTCCTTGGGTGGTACGCCCGTGAATCGTGATGATCCAGAGATACAATAAGTCTTTCGTTTAAACAATATTAATATTCCCTTCGTTTTGATTATTCCACAAATGTCAATTTTTTTCATTCCAAAAATATAAAGAAAAACATAAAAAAATTTTAAAATTCATGAATCAATTAACCAATACCCAAATCAAGATTGTATTGAAAATTGAGTAAATGAAAATTGCAGAGAAGTTTATTATACCGAATAAATGTTATAAACACAGTTATAGCGTTTTGCGTTTTACAGTTTAATGACCTTATTGATATCTATTTTCAATTTGTTTTTTTTTATGATAACTATGTACTATTTTTTTCTCTAATATTTACCGTGGTGTGTGTTTAATTTTGAGTACGGACTATAGAATAGTCATTAATTTCTTATCCAAACATTTTTATCGCTCAATTTATTATTTTATAAAGGGGTTTTTCTCTACTTTGTTGCTTAAACTTTATTTAATGTTAATTGTTTTGTTTGGCGTTTACATTGAAGAATTATCGAACTACATACCGAAAAACGAAAAAGCTGGTAAGCTATCTGTTTTTTAAAATGGACAGTTTTACTGATTGAATTTGCTAATCAAAAATTTTTGATTGGAGATCACTGAAAAAAAAAAATGATATAATAAATTGTATTCTATTGATTTTCACTACTTAATGAAATATACAATTTGGTAAATTCTAATTTCAAAATTGCTTCATACTCAATGACATACTTTCATGACAGGTAGGTACTTATTAAATTACTATTAATGTAAAGTAGGTACCTTTTTCATTAAGAGGAATAATAATAATATTAATTAATAATGTAGATCTTGAATTTCATAAAATTAATTTTTTAAATACTTAAGTAATATTAAATTATTATTAATTATTATTAGAATGCATGTCAAATGTTAAATTATATCGGGATTATATTTTTGTCTTGGGTAATATTCAATTAATAATAAATTATACATCTTAAATTGCAACACATAAAAGGAAGCATTTTTTTAATATAACTATACATTTCACTTTGAGTTTTTTCTGTGGGTTCTTAGTTCAAGAAATTGAAATTTGTTATGTATTTTTAATTTAAATTAAATTAACTCAGAATTTCTATTCAAACATTTGATATGATTCGACTGAGCATATTTATTTGGCATCTTCAATGTCATCTTTATGTTTATAAAGTTTTTAAAAACTAACCCTAAAAAGATCTAACATATTTTGTATAGCTGGCAAGTTAGCTCATAAATTATACTAGGCACTAATTACTATAAATTATAAAATGTCTATGCATAATGATAATAAACAGGGCTTGGCTGACCCAGTGGTTTACCGCCCTATCGAACAGTAGACAGTTGCCATTAGTTAGGTTAGGTTCCTCGTAAGTAGTATGATTATTTATTTAAATTATATACATATTTGTAGAGTAATGGGACATAATAGGATACAATGAGACTGAGTCAACTCACATTTAATTATTAAAAATAAATAGAAACGTATATTTTATAACAATTTGGGTTAGTGAACTGGTGCATGGGGTTTATAAAAACAATATTCTTTAATAATGGCTGTAAACTTATTCATATTAAAAGACAAGTATGAAGAGTTAGGACCATGTGCCCTTCCACCATACATATTTGATTAGTGTTTGAATATTATGGGTCACCAAATAAGTACGTACTTCGTACCATCAGAACTATAGTGTAATAACTCAAAAAACAATGATTTTAAAGATTTTACTCATTTTTAAATACCTGTAAAACAAAAAGTATTCTCTCTTCATAGAATTTTGGATATCTGTAGTTTATAAATATAATTGTATACCTATCTAAACTTTAAAATGTAAACATTATATTATATTTTAAATACTAAATTAACTATTTTTGAATTCATACATTTGTTTAGTGGACTAACGCAATAACGCACATTTAAATAAATTGTTTTGCAATAGTGTATTATTTTAAGATACTACATTATTGCATTTAGAGCAACTTATTATTTTCTATCAAAATTTAATGATCAAATGTATAAATTTACCTACTTTTTGAGTTGAAACATTAGTACTCTAATATTATTGTTTCCTTAATATCTTACTTTATTATTCTTTTTTTTTAACTTGTTCCATAATGTAGATACAATAAAATATGCTAGTGCACTGTAATGAATTTTAATTTTATCATAGGAAAAGTTGTATAACTTAAAATTGCATATTTGTGTTACAAAATTACTGTTCTAATATGCCAGGGTAGTGCTGCCACTTTTTTTGGGATAGTTTAATACCCGGTTTGTCTCTGTTAATAAACAGTTTTAAAAGAAAATATATTTATAAGTAAAATATGTATATAATGAGTAAAATAACTAAGGTAATAATATGAAAACATTTTAGTGTTTCATTATTCAGCTCCGTATTTTATGTGTAACACCAGTAAAATATTAAATCTGGAATTTCAGAGATAAGCCAATATTAAATAATTTAGTTTTACTATTATTATAATATTTGTAGAACATACTGAATGATTGAGTTTGGGTAGTAAATATAAAATTAATTTATAAAATTGGTCAAATATTCACAATAAAATATATCAAATTAATGTCATATTAAATTTATAGTCTGCATTGTGTATATATTATAATACAACAGAGTACTGTTTTATAGTTCAGTATGGTGTCTACTTTGTTTTTATTCAGTAGTAAATTTTCTTTATAAATAAATTAATACCTATTTATTAGATATGTGACAAACTGTTCGATTTTCAGACTGATAGTAGCATATAATCGAACCGAACCAAATACACACAATAGTTCGGTTCGAAAATCATTCATTACCGATTTTGTGTGGTCACCAATACAATTTTTTGTGATGGGACAGAGCAGCCTTGTATGAAAAAGAAAAATTCTATTTTTTTCGCATTAGTGGTTTTAATAATCATAAATCACGGAGCCGAGCAGTTTGAAAACCTAGGTTTTTGACCTAACCTAACCTTTTTACTTTTTAATGTTCTAGTTCGAGTTTGATAAAATATTTTAAAAGTTAGATTTATGTTCGAATAAAAATGTATAGGTTCAGTTTATCTTAAATATCAGGGTTCGTAATAATCTCTAATATTTGTAATTTTTACTTTAAATTATTTATATATTTTATATTTTTATACCATGGAAATAATTAATTCAAAAAATGATAAAGATAAATTGTTATTTAATGAATATAATATATATATTTTAAAACAATCAGGAGAGGGGATGGAATTATTTTATCTGGATATAAAACAGTTTTTTTAAATTGATTTTTACATTTTGGGTTTTTTCCCCTAGTTACCTTAACCAGTGGTAACAAAAACTTCATTGTTTTGTTTTTGCTGAGTATACATTTTTTTTCAACCACTGTCTTAACATTTACCACATGGTAAAATATATCATCTACCTGCAATGATGATTTACTGGTATTCTTAAATTAAATTGTATGAGTTTATAAAAATTGAAAGTTTAAATTAATTAATTAGATCATGTAATCTATCTTTAATTAAAGCTGCTAATAATAATACTGGATCTCAACATCTAAAAAATGTATCATGTTCAATGTACATTTTATTGTTGAATTATTACTTTTTAAAAAATGATATGATTAGAGATAGGCTCTACTATGCATCAATAATAAAAAATTTTAAATGTGTATGTTTTGCCCCATTTTTATTCTAATATTTTTCTTTAGTTAGTTGGGTCAAGCAGTATTTAATACCACCTGGATTTCGCTGTTACTCTGATTTTAATAAGCCCTAACAATGCATTAAAAATTTAAAATCAAAGTTAAATTAAATATTATAATCATGTTTAGAAGTTTTCATCAGGTACTTTTATCGAAGATGAAATAATATGACAAATGTCTACTTTCTTAAAATATTTATCTTACAATACTTAATAGCAAATAGTTTTAATCTAACATTTGAAATTAATTAATTCAGTTAAAAACCTAAAATACCTCTGAAGTTTTTTTTACAATTGTAATTTATAATTTTTTCTATAAACAAAATAATAACTGTTTTTTAATTAAAAATATTCAAATTTGATATGAAAGAATTAAAATTAACAAATAAATTTAAAATTGATTTTACAGGCTTACATATTTGTACACTTAGTGTTATGGTAGATTAAAAGCTCTGTCAAATTGTTCTCTAACCAGACAATTTTGAAAATATCAATGCGGTCTAGTACTGAGGACACTATGAATTCATTCACACCACAACAATATTGTTTGAGATGGAAATACCACCATTCAAATTTGCAAGCCATGTTCTCTCAACTTTTAGAACGGGAAAGCTATTGTGATGTTACTTTGGCTTGTGAAGGGAAAACTCTTAGAGCCCATAAGGTAAATTTTTAAACATTTTATTAACTATAAAAAATATATATATATTATTTTATTTAATTTTTTTTTTTTAGATTATGCTTTCTGCTTGTAGTACATATTTTGACAGTATACTGTCACAGCACGATGAAAATAAGGCAATAGTTATTCTTAAAGACGTAAAATTTTCTGATATTCAAGCTCTAGTCAGTTTTATGTATAAGGGAGAAATTAATGTTGAACATGTAAGAATTAAAATTTATTTTCTTTCATGTCTAATATTCTTAAATTACCACTTATGAAAATTTTAGACTGAACTTTCTTCATTATTAAAAACTGCAGAAGAACTTAAGATCAAGGGATTAGCTGAAGTTTCATGGAGATCTGATCAAGAAAATCAAATTTCTAACATAAATTCAGAAGAAGGAACAAGTATAAGTAAGAAGAGGAAACTAGATTCAACACCAACTCCAGCTACAACATCTGCTAATGTAAAAACAGAATTTGCAGAAACACAAAAAGTACATAGTTTTAATATTATAAATTTTCATGTTAATAATTGATATAATCTGTAGGAGATTGATGATATGGTTGAATCAGATGCTGATGAAAATGAATCTGAGCCAGATCAGTCAATTTGGGAACCAGAAATGCAACATGATGTTGATTCTGACAATGTGGACACTTCTAGGCCAGCAGTGCGTACATATATGTTTAAGTTGTAGATACTAAAATATAAAAATAAAATATTTATTTTTATATATTTGTTTGTCAAACATTTGAAAGTTTATGGTTTTTTTTTTTCAAGACTGTAAGCGCAGTTACATCTTTTTCTTCTGAAGATGATCCAGGAAATAATACTAGTACTAATCAAACCTTTAATGAACAATCAGGCAGTGTTCCTGGTATAATTATAATTTAAAAACATTATTATGGTTTAAGTTTATATTATAATGTAATAAATATTATTTATTTTATAGATTTAAGTCAATTTTCTGATGTAACAAAAATGAATGATTACCTAGAAAAAGGTGGTCGACGTCCACAATTTTGGGAAGAATCTTTTACAAAAAGATTAATGGAAGCTATTAAAAATAAAGAGGTAGAAATGAAAGTTGCAGCTGAATTGATGGGTGTATCATATGGTACACTTTATGGTCGTTATCGTGATGCATATGGCTGTTTAAAACATCCATACAGGTATAATAATAGTTTTTTTTTTCTTTGAATAGCATAATAGGATAATATTTTCAGGGTTCGAGATTTCTGGTTAGAACAAGGTCCAGCGGATGTATTAGCAAAATTACAAAGAAAAGAATTAACTCTTTTTAGAGCTGCAGAAATTTTAAATGTTACAGTAACAACATTAGCCAGTTACTTATCTACCATCCGTAATGATTCAATAGCTACTTCAACAGCTGTAAGTTCAACTGAAAGATCCACATTTAGTGTCGATGCTATGTCTGAGAGTGATAGAGAAGAAGAAAATTCTGAAGATGAACCATCAAATGATGATATGGATAATATCATAACTACTAGTAATACTCAACAAAATAACCCTGATAATATTATATCTGCTACAGGAGCAGGGACATTGTCTAAAGTTAATAACTTAAATGGTAACTAATGTTATATATAAATAAATCATTAGATTGAGAGTAGAAGTCCTTACAAATATTATAATTATACAGTGGTTTCTTACCATACATATTTACAATTTTTGTTAATCCTAATATAATTTTTCTTTCATTATTTAATTTTACATAATATTTATTTTATTTTTTATTCTATATTATTTTCTAACAATTTTTTGTTAACTCTGGAGCTGCTGTTAGAATATTATTTTATCTAAATTAACATAAAAATAAATAAAAATTATAATAGTACAGGTTAAATTTTTCTTAATTGATTGTTTTATACTTATGCAATTATTTTCATTTTTCTTTTATAAACATTAGGTTACAATACTTCTCAAATTGGTGCTAATTTATTCTTCCATCTTAGCTCTCTAGTTTCAAATATTTGTATTAATATAAAAATAATTGTTTTATATTCATGAATACAAATATATATATACACACACACACACACACAATACATATTTTGCTCAAATGCAAAAAGTGACAAGTATTAAATTTTGACTTTAATCAAGATTTATGAACCACTTAAGGTTTTCAAACTATTTATATCACTTTGAGACATTTAGTACATATATAGGGATGAAGTAAGGCATTTAAACTTATTTTTTTACTTGGTCATTTTTTGCACAACAGAGATTATAATATATTGTATTGTGTTTATATATATTACTATGAATGAATACCATTTATTTATTTTGAACTATAACGATGATTAATTTTTAACAACCTAAATTTAAATTATATGTTATTTTCATTATATTTAAAAATATTTGTTTTTAATTAATTTATGGTAGGGTATTTGAATTTATTTTGTATGCATTTGTCTATATTAATATTCGTAATACATAAAAAAAAACAGCCACTTTAAATTTTTCCATTTGTATATTTCACACCTGCAAAGAAATATAAAAATTATTTTGTAAGTTTGATCAAATAATTATTTAGATGGTAAATAAAAATAATCTAAAAAAACTTATATTAAAGTAAAATAAAGTAGGTCATCATATATATATATATGTACATATATATGACATTATGGTTTTTATTGGGAGTTTAATATATATTAAGTACTAAATAATTACATGTGTTTGTTTTTATATGCAAATTCATTAATTTAGTTCTGATAGAATTTACTAAAGCTAATATACATAGATTACATATTATCTATTTTACTATATTTGTAAAAATATTATTATTTTTAAAATTTAATTGTTGATCAAACCTTAAATTTAAAACACCTTAATAAAAAAAAAAATAATAATAACAAACAGAATAGGACAAATGTTATTGCAAGATTAAAAAATGTATTTATTATTTTATTTTAAAATAAATATTCCTAATAAAATCTACTAATTTAAAAGTATATGTAAAATGTTTATTAAACATCGGATTTGTGAGCCTGAAACTTTTGTATAATGATTAAATTTCTTGGTTTTGGAAGAACTATTATAGTTATTTTATTTAAAATTGTACCATATTAATTTTTTTTTTCAAATATATTATACACATTCGCACATCTTAAATTTAATAATTGTATTATAAAATTTGTTTTTTACAAAGGACAAGATATTATAATATAATTATAAACTTGAATTTATTATGTATTATGTATTTATTAGAAAATTAAAAAAAATAATATGTATTAATCTAAAATCTTAATATTTATATTTTGGATTATAGTAAAGGTTTTAATTATTAGAATATGACATGATATCCTATTAATATAATTTTTAAACCATCGTGTCCCATAAAACATGTAGATTTGGTTAACAAATGTAATACATTTAATTTATTAAGAATATATCATTGTGAAATTATAATTTTTTTTTTTTTTAATTTAAATGGAAAGAACATGTATGATGGACAAAATTAGTTGTGCAATATCATTAGCTTTACATAATAGTTTTTAAGTCTGATCAAGTATGTTTATTAGCAAGAATATGTATTTATAATCGTCATTTATTATTTTTATTATTATTTTATTATTACTATTGCTATTTTGTAAATATAAATTTATTTATATGCATATATTCAATTATAATTATTATCATAATATATAAACAGTTACAATATTTATTATTATAACACATATAATATTAATTTAAAACATAAAACATTATTAAGACTTAAAACCCCCAGAAATAGCTGAAAACATATAGTATCAAAATATTTATATACAAATGTATTAATTGTATTATATATTTATGCATTTATATTTTATAGTTCTTGGTAACAATATGGGCAATATATATTATACAATACATTCATCTAAAGATTTATTGGTTCACATGTTCCTAGAATTTAATTATAACCTATTTTTTTTTTTTTAAATAAAATTATAGAATAACTATGTATGTGGCTGAATACAATCTTAATCTCTTTTATTACAAATCACAATAAAAATAATTTTTTTCACAAAATTATGAAATTTTTATTATAAAACAAACACTCAAAATCGGATTATTATAGTTATGTTATTTGGGAAAAAAGTTTTATTCAGCTGCATTTTTTAGTTAATTTATACACATATTTATTTCAATAATAATAATTATTATTTTTAAGATTTGTTATTTTTTATTTTTATTTTATAATATTTTACTTTTTATGTTTCAAGTAAATCGTAAGAACTTACTACCCCCTAAGAGTACTGCATTTGAATTTACTTTTTTCTGCAAATATGTCTTCTAAATAATATTTAATAGTTTTTTCAGGGGTCCAATGGTCTGACAATTGGTTTATTATATTTAATGAATTTTAATATTTATGTGTATTCATCATATCTTTAATTTAGTTATTATTAAGGTGATTAAGTTGGTCATTTTTAAAAAAACGAATTGTACACATTTTTACTATATTATTGTTCAATAGATTTAAATAAAATGTTAAAAATTCAATACTCAACTGTACACATACTTAACAGACAAAAGTAAATCTTATAACTAAAAGTTAATGTGTTACATACCTTTATACATGTTGACATAATATACCTATGTTAGGTCATTAGTATTGTCACATAATTTGATGTTATTTTAAGTTTTTTTTGTACGCAATATTTTATGAAATTGTTGTGTTTTCAACTGTAATTTTTCGCGAGATATTTATAATTTTATAAATGTATTCAAATATAATATAATATAATATACCTAAATAAGTAGTTAAAAAAAATGAATGGAATTGAAACTTATAAAAATAAAACATTATATGATTTTAATAATATAATTATTTGTGTACTTACAAAGCTTTGGAAAATTAGACTTGGGCATATTTTAAGTATTGGTAGAGTGAAGCGTCATCCACACTAATGGAGATGGAAGAGTGGTGTGTATAATCAATTTGTGTGGGCAAAATTAAGAGATATAACAGGTTAAATCACTCATGGGTATGCATACATCAGTACATAAGGTTTAACAGGAATAGAGGCAGATAGGTCTACCGGGACACCATGATTTTCCCAGTGGGCCGCTACTTATATGAAGTATGAAAAATACTGCTACTGTACTATAATAATGTATAATGTACATAAACACAAATAATTAAAGTTAATAAAATATTGTAACAAAAATACTGTAATCTATATATAAGTACAGTTCAAATCAAAATAAATTATTGTATGACAGAACAGTGGGGAATTCCACCTTATTCGCGGGGTTGCGTCATAAACTGACCACTATCACTAGTGTTTTATTTTGGAATTTGAATATTATTTTTGTATTTCATACACAGATTAAGATATCTTAATTCGTGGTTTTAGATCTACTTATATAAATAAAAGTACTTACACGTTAATTGTACTCGGTAATCTAACACATACGTTACAGTCAACTGTTTTTGGTTTTCCATTGTCACATGGCATATAGGTATAATGTACCTTGTACATAATACATAGTATTACGTACCAATCATAATTATTATTCGATAGTCGGGTTTGTTTGGTCAGCCAAGATTTTTTAGTGTTTTAAGAAAAAAAAAAGTATTAAATAAACTATATTTCTCCAACAGTAAAAATGTGATGTTTATGTATCCATAAGAAAAGATACATTTCCACTATCTTTTAAATCAAAAAATATTAGTTCTGATTTCACCTAAAACTTCTTTATGTTATAACACACTAAATGAAAAAAAAAATCAATTTTGATTTATTTTAATATGCAAATGATTGCAAATAACATTATAATTAAGTTTTACGTGATTTATTATCAATAACATAATAAGAGTTACTATAAAAAGAGTACTTAAGATGAGTTCTGATTTCACAAAAATGTAAAACATATAATAACTACCATTTCTAAAAAAAAATTTCAAGAATATAAATTTTTGGTATTTTAAACTCAAAAACACTATTTTCAGAAAAATAATTTATTTTAAAGTTTTTTTACCATAACAAATGAAGTTTGAGCGACTTTTTTTTTATGTATCGTCAAATGAAGCATGTAAAAACACATTTAGAAAAAAAATTCTAAAAAATTGCTTGGGAGCTCAACTGCATTCGTTCCAGAATTTTGGGCTCTATAACTTCCACAGTTTTTTTTTTTTTTTGGTATAGGAATCTGTCAAAGGTAACAACTGAATTAAAAAGTGTGTCTCCTAAAATCTGAAGTATTTTAGGCTCTGATTGATGAATATTAAAAATGTCAATATCAAAATTGATTTTAACTAAACCATCCTAAAATAAGGATGACAAAAAAAAGAGTAATTTAATATTTTAGAATATTTAAGTACCTACCTAGGTAAGTACTTATTTCTTGAATTTTCTAAAATAAAAAAGTTAATATTTTCTGAAATAATGAGTGTCTTATGTTACGTTGATCACTCTGTATATAATCAATGGTATTATATAATAGTCATCGTGATTCGGGGCCATAAACATATTAATATTATTAATAATATGTTATTTAATGTGTTTAATGTCTGTATTCGTGACCCGGTTGGTCTTATAAACTTAAATGCAAATTATGAAATTACTCAGATCCTAGTAACCCATGTAGCATGCAAAATTTCATTATCATGTTATATTCCTAATCACAAAGTTACTTACAATTGTATCTATAATATCTTGGTTTGTATTTTTAATGGTTGCATAGATGTTATTTTATACGTGTTTTGTTAGAGAAAGCTGGAGGGCCACATAATAATAATTAAACTTTTTATTTATTAGTTATTACTATCACAAAGGTTATATATAGTTTCATAAAAATTGTTACGTACTACTATTATTTAGATCTATTATATACCTATATAGTATAGGCTAAAATATTATTTACTATATCATACTATATAGGTTTATTTTATCTCATTGGGAGAACTGGGTGTATCCCCTCTAGAGAAAGCCATCATGAGTCGCTTTATGGAGAAAGCAAAGTTTCCGACCGTGGTAGAAATTATGAAGCTTATCAAGTTTCTTTATCATATTCTCATATATATTATCCTACGATCGATAATTTTCATTGTAGTTCACTGCAGCAAACTAAAAAGTTACGCCTTTAATAGTTATTAAACATATTCCTTTATACGTAAGTATTTTGCATTTATTTTATAGTTCATTTAATTTTTTGTATAGTAATATTCAAGAAATAATAAAAAAAAATGTAACATGAGTCATTAAGTGACAACACATTGAAGTATCAATTATATTTTATGACCTGATTTGAAATTGTTTGCATGCTTTCACTAGGAGATTTATGAAATAATAAATCAGACAGACACTTCATATCTTTAGAATTCTTATGCCAATTAAAATCTAGTATTTCTATCCAATATTTAGCAAATATTAATATTATGCTATTGGGCTGGTATAATAGTAGTTTCAAATCATGTTAAATTGTAGGAAAATGTATTCCTTTTAGCTTACAATTGTAATATATGACTTTCTTTAACACAAAGTTTGAATTAGACAGTTAAAAACGAATTTAAATGTATTTTACAGTGAATACATTTTATGAAGTATTTTTTTAAATTTTCATCTTTAAAACATTTAAGGGGCTGTATGTAAGTCATATTTAAGTAGGTTTTTTATTTTGAAATATGTTCCCTAGATGACAGGCTATTTAACAATACACAATGAAGTCTGTTCAGTAGAATTTAATAATTATTAGGATCATTACATGATTACAGTCAAATGATTTTGTCATGAGAGGGAAAGGAATGAGGCTGATTTTATAATATTTTTTTTTAACAATTATTGTTTCTCTGTATTATTTTTTTAATATCTAAATATGTATAGATATTATCACTGACTTATATGATATGTGATAATACACATATAAATATTGATGAGAAAAGGATCATGGGGAATGTATTCCCCTTGCCCTCAACTTGACTGCCCCTAATTGCAATTGTAAATTTTCAGTTATTTGTTTGCTCGAAAAAAAAATTTTTTTTTCTGTTTTATAAGCTTATTATGTAAAATAATAAAAAAAAGTTTCATATTTTCAATAACACTGAGTTTTTAACTTGATTTTTTGGGGATTTATAGTGCGTTAAATTCACACTTATAGATACCAAATGACTTAATGAATATTGTAATTCTGTTCTGTCTTGTTTAAGTTTTTAATTGTTGAAACAAAAATATTGTTTGACTTTATATAATTTGATTTTACTATTTTGAAAAAATATTTATAGCCTGGTTTAAATTGAATTCTTGTTTAATATTATATATGTACATATATATATTTTTTTTTTAGTCATTTTTCATTTGATTGGAATAATACTATTATATCAAATATTTACAACAAAATGACATACCAAACAGTTAAAAGTTTTTACGCAAATAAAAACATATTTTTAACTGGTGGTTCAGGTTTTGTTGGAATTTCTTATATAGAAAAAGTACTTCGAAGTATTCCAGATGTTGGTAATATATTTGTGTTACTTCGACCTCGAAAAGGACAAAGCATACAAGAAAGATTGGATGCTTTGAAAAATAATTCAGTAAGTTTTCATTTATAATCATATATATATATATAAATTTAGTTCTGAAATTAAATATTATCAATATTTATTATTTATCTATGTCAAGGTGTTTGATTTAATAAAAAGTTGTGATGGTAGTGATGTATTATTGAACAAAATACAATCTGTTAATGGAGATATATCTGTGGAAAAGTTAGGATTATTAGATGATGATTATAAAATGTTATGCGATAATATTAATATTGTTGTACATTGTGCAGCATCATTAGATTTTGAAACTGATTTAAAAACAGCAGTGACTATCAATTTGATAGGTACAAAAAGAATTGTGGAATTGTGTAAAGAAATTAAAAACTTACAAGTAATATTATAATATTTTAATTTATTATATCCTTAAGCTACTAATAAAACAATTTTTGACTGATACACTTTTGTGCAGTGTTTATTGCATGTTTCAAGTGCTTATGTTAATAGTAATAAAAACTATGCGATGGAAAAAATTTATGATGCTCCAGCTAATTATGATGATATTATTAATTATGTTCAAAACACAGATGTTGATAAATTGAACAAAGCTACCAATAAGTTAGTTAAAATACTCAAATCTAGTTTTATTATATAAACAATTCAAATGATTTCATTTTAGATTCTGAGTGGAGTGAAAAATTGTTGGTTTTACAAAGATGTTTATTTTTTTTTCTGTTAACAATTTTGCTTCAATTTATGATAGAAAATTTTTTTAAAGGAAATTCAACTGGGGAGGTACTTTAGAGAGGTCGTTTTTTGATTTTCTCTAGTTTTATGAATAAATGTGAAAACCGAAAAAAGAACAGGAAAAATCGGTACAACATTAGACAAATATTATTTAAGAAAATATATTAAGCCTATTTAATTATTTTACTATAATATGTTATATATACTGCTCACAAAGCATTAATAACAACTGAACTCTACTCAGAATCGTTTTTTTGAAAGCAATGGTTTATCATTGCTTACAAGTATATTTTAAATTATCTATAAAAGTGGCTGCACCAGTCCCCATTATCATAAGATTATTATACTTTTAGGATAATAGGAAATCATATAAACACTTATACATTCAGTAAAGCATTAGCTGAACATGTTATAAATGATGCCAGAAATATTATTCGCACTTGTATTGTACGACCAAGTATGAGTAAGTATATATCATAATTTAATTAAATAGAAATATATTTTTATTACAATTGATTAAATTTTATGTCAGCAAGTTCTATTGAATATATTAAAATGATTAAATGGATTGTAGTTTACATTTTATTCATGCATTAAATAAGTTATTGCAAAACAAATTTGTTGAATGATTTTATTAAATTTCATGGTTAAACATAATTGACTATAACTTATTAATGGAAATAGTCTTAGATCATGTTTATGATTATCTAGAATTATCCAAACAAGCAAAAGAAATTTTACTTTTTTTTGCTTTAAATTATTTATGTGAAATAACTTTTTCAACTATGACAATAATTAAAAACAAATATCACTCTAGATTAAATGTCTAAGCAGATATAAAAGTAGCAGTATTAAATATAAAACAAACTTCGAATCATTTTTAAGATTCAAACACAAGTCTCATTAAATTTTCTTATTTTATAATTTTTAAAATGTTGATTATCATATTAAATTCATTATTTGTTTTAAATTTTATTTTTATTGCATTTATATTACTATTATATAGTATTCAATAATATTAAACAATTATCAAATTGTTAAAGTGTCAAATTTCATTTATAATATATTTATGCATTGTTGATTAAAATATCTAAATAAATACATTGGAGGTCATATATCAAAATAGGAGGTTTTCCACTACAGACCGATATAGGAAAATTAATTTTCATTCTCTTCTAGACAAAGACTGATGAAAATCATAGCTTATAATCCTAAAATAATTGAAATAATTTCAAATTAAATACATTGAAACTATAAAAATATCACAATTTTAAGCAAAACTATATGGAGATATGCATTATAAGATGATATTATGTTTCTTTTAAGATTTTATTTTAGATTCTAATTGGAGGGAGAAATGTATTGGTTTTACCACTGTGTTTGTTTTTTTTTCCTGTAAACAACTTCTCTATCAGATATTTTGGTCAGATTTAAAATGATAGCGTTTTTTTTTTTTTTAATAAATCTGACAGGAGGTACTGTAAGGTCATTTTTTGATTACGTGGTTAGGAATGGTTTATTTTTGCTTACAGACTACCATTCCAATTTTCACCTATAACAGTGGCTGCACCAGTCCCCATTATCCTAGGTCACATTTTTTTCATCTTTTCTATGGCTATGGTTAAAATAATAATAAAACTAATAATTTCTTTGCTTCACTTAGACAAAAAAAATTAAACTACTAATTATTTTTACAGTCCTTGCAGCATGGAAACAACCAATGGAAGGATGGACAGTATCTAAAAATGGTCCACAAGGATTTATTATGGGTGCTTCCAAAGGAATAATAAGACGTTTACCAGTAAATACATCATTAATATATGATTATATACCTGTAGACTTGGTAATAAATACCATGATTTCTGGTACATGGTATAGTTCTCAATTATCAGATAGGTAAATATGCAATCTATTTTCTTTTCTTTAATTATAATAATTATATTTAAAAAAAGTTATTAAAAATAATTCATTTTTACATAAAAATACTGTGCTATTTTAAATTTTAAAATTATATTATAATTGTAAAACTTGTTTAGCAATTCCACTGTAGATGGACAAACTCCAATTTTTCATTGTACTACAAGTACTTGTAATCCATTTCGTTGGAATAATGTAACATCCGTATTGAATACTACTTTGCATAATTATCCCATATATAGTGCTGTCTGGTATCCAAATATAAAATTTATGCCAAATTTATTCATGTTTTGGATTTCAACTGCAATATTTCATTTTATTCCTGGTTATATATTGGATTTTATTACCAAAGTTTTTGGTGGAAGGCCCATGTGAGTATATTTTAGTAAAAATAATCATAATATTTAAAGATTTATAATACATTTAAAAATAACCACTGAATATTTGTTTTTGTTTAAAGTATTTGACATTTTTTTTTTTTTTATGTTAACATTGTTTAACCAATTTATCAACTATATTTTATTATTATTACCAGACTTGTAAGATTACACAAGAATGTAAATAAATCTCTTCCAAAATTGGCTCCATTCATTTTTAATGAATGGAAATTTGATAATGCCAGAACTCTTAGCTTACAAGAAGAAATGAGTATTGATGATCAACATATATTTTACATTGATCCAACATCATTAAATTGGAGAATATTTTTTATTAATCTTACAAAGGGTGTACGCAAATATTTACATAAAGAAGATGATAAAACCATGCAAAAAGCTTTAAAAAAACATTTTTTGTAAGTTCATGAGTTTTGTATTTTATATTTTTATGTTTTTAATATTTAAATGTATTATGTTACAGATTAATGTGGGCAAACCTCATTGTTCAATTATTGGTGGTTATTGGAATTTGGTATTTATCATCCTGTATCACCAATACCTCATTTTTATCCAATTATTGGGTAGCAATAATCATAGTTATTTTTGGATTTTTGTTCTAAATTAGTCATAAGTATTAAAAAAAAAAAAAAAAAAATTATATTATTAATTGATTCAGTATTATATTAAGTGTTTTTGGTAATACGGTTTTGAATAACTATTTTGTGGATATTGTTAACTAAAATTAATTGATAGCCAACAATTTAAGTTTATTTTTACTATCTTTGGTTACTGATTATCCATTAGTGGAATAATGAACAGAAAATAAAACAGTTTTGCAATATTGCAGCCACGTTTCAAACTGTTAACCAAACTACATCCCCAAAATACGTTCATTAATTATTTTAATGCAGTAATAAATAAGTATTTCATTCTTACACTTACAAGCATATATTTTTCTAGTATTAAGTTTATTTTAAAATAATTATGTAAAAGTTATAATTAAGTATATATTTTTAATTTATTTTATATTGGGTGGATTTCTTTAATATGTATAAATATATACTTAAATTATTAAAAAGTTTGATTTTGAAAAACCCTAAATTATTTTATTATTCACTTCATGATGTAGTTGTACAATAAATATTGTTAATTTTAGAATTTAAACAAAATATGCTAGTTTGAACTTTGTTCAAGATAAAATGATAATCACATATAATACAGTTATGTTATTCATAAAAACCTTATATTAATAAATAAGTTCCATTTTTTGCATACATTAGGAGTTGCAGTCAAACATAAGATAGTGATGCAACAAAACTTGATGTTATTTAAACCACTGCAGTATATATGATACAAAATAATATTGTACTGGGAACAGGAAATAATTATATTGCAAGTTATTAAGAATTGTTTGACATCTGCAATAAACTACAAATTGTAATCCGTTTTTATTATTAAAAACAATTTAATATATTTTTAATTACTAAAATATGCAGTACCTAATAACTTAAAAAGTAAATAATAATTTATTTCACATAAGACGAAAGAATTTTATAAGAACATGGTAATTTTATTATTGTTTTATGTCGCTCAGTTACTAAAAAGTGTCCTGTGTTTTGACTTCTGCATAAATGAACAAACACAGAGAGAACTTAAATTGTAATTATAAATTGACAGATGAGGGTCCAACAGAAATTATTATTTATGTTAACTCAACACTTCAAATTTAGATCATATAGACTTGATAGAGCTATAGTGTGAACATAGTAGTTGGGCCCTCAAAGTCTCTACAAGGCTCTGTTAATATTAAATGATAAGAAATTATGATTATCATTAATATATATATATATAGATTATTATATTATAGAAACTGACACAAATAATTATGAGTTAAAATATGTATCTGTCTTGTTGCAGTCAGTCAATCTTTGTTTCGCATATTCAATATCGGAATGAATGGTTATGATAAGTTCCTCTACATAAAAATTGTTTTAAATTAAAATTGGTTAATATATTTGAATCACATGAATTTTGTTTTAAAACAAATATAGCTTACCTATTGTACTGAAGTCCAATTCAGGTCGAATAAAACCAACAACTTTAATTTTTAAATTAGATCCATAAAAATCTTTGTCATATTTCTTGATTATATGAATTTCCTATACATAAAAACAAATGTAATCCAGATCATTTAATTTGGATAAATATGACTTAACATATTAATGGAGTTTAGGCAATAAGATTCCAAACAATATTTGTATAGGTTTCCAAGGGAACAAAAAAACAAGTTATTTTTTTTTATTTTTCATTTAAACCTTCAATAACTATTTAATTAATTTTTAAGATTTTATAGTTATTATTTAAAAAAAGTTTTTTTACAACAAATCAATTTTTAATTACCTAATTATAATCAGTGAGAATAAGTAAAGACTCATAGAATAAGATGTAGTTACTGCTGTCTTTGTTGGAAATCCAGTAACACCAAATTGAGAAAAAAAAGTTGTAAAATTAAGTTATTGCCTTATTTGTTGTGCATATACATGTATATGACCACATAAAAATTAAATTTGGATTTTATAATCATTTTGTAAGTTTGGTGTTTAAAATTGTGTAGCCTATCATAAATTGCATAAAATATACGACTGTCACAATAAAACTGTGAATCCTATGAGATTTTAGTTGATTATCTTTTTTTTAGGAAATCAAATTTAGTAATATAACAATTTATTATATCTTCATTTTTTTATCAACTATTTTAAATAAGTTAAGTGTATATTCAATTAAGTCAATTTTGCAAAACAAATTAAATATTTTTTCTTATTATTTTTCTTGGAAAATAATAGATTTATAAGAAATTGTATAAGCTTACTTTTTAGAGACAATATTATAATTTACAATTAAGTCTCATATATTTATGTGGTAAATGGTATTAATTTTCAATTAAACTTAAAAAACTAAAAAATGACATGAAAATATTAGATCCTCTTGCTGCACAGGAATAGGTCAGTCATAATCACTAAAATTAACCTTAATTACTTTTTATAGTAATAAAAAATTGGGGGAACACAAATTTGAAAGTTAAAAATTTAAGGACCAGCCTAGTATACTAGTATACCTACTTAGTACAATTATTACAATTTCAATAAAAGTCATCCATATATCTGTATTAAGTTCCAGACTAGAAGTTATTTATATTATGCATCTACTCATAATTTGTTTTCTCAGTCTATCTTATGTATAATATAGAAACAAATAGACATTGCAAATCTTGGTTTAAGACAAAAAGACCTATTAAACATTTTATAAAAAAGAATACGTAATTGAAAAAATGATTTTTTGAATATTTTCATTTGTACTATAAAAAATTATGTCTTAATTAATTTAACTTAATTTCTATCAATTTTAACCATTAATAACTTATTAACACAAGAAAAAATAATATTTAAAAATCACTTGGTCAAAGTTTAATAAATAATCTTTTTTATAAAATGTTTGGTCTCTGTTCTAAACTCAACCAAAGATGTTCATAAAGTCTCTCAATAAAGGTTGTAGTATTAATAATAACATTTATAACAATTAAATTCTATTTGTATTTATTCCTAAAAATAAATAATTAATGAAAAATTGTTTCTGTGATTTTGATTATGTATACTTAGTTTTTACTTGATAAGGACTTAATTTGGGTGAGCGACCTTCCCTTCCCCCATTCTTGGTCTTTTACATACCTTTACTATATAAAGCTGACCTGACAATAATAGGATAACTCCAGTAATATTATAAAAATAGGTCTAGTGTGCAAAATTTTACTTATTATCTATATAACATAATGTGTATAGACTTGAGTATTTTATTATAAATATTATTCATTATAACAAAATTGTAAATTATATATTATTGTTTATTCTATTTGATGGTAGACAACAAAAAGTATAGTACAAAGTTTTCATAGGAAGAAAATAATATTCTTACCACAAATATATATTTTTGGTTTTCAAAAAAGACATGTCCATACACTTTAATTAAAATAACTATTTTTTCCCCGTAAATTTATTGACACTTGAGAGTATACACAGTAACCCATGATTTATTAAAATAAATCTTAAAATCTTGAAAGTACATATAGTAAAGTACTATATAACATACATGGAAAATACCCTATAAAATACCACTGGTTATAATTATTAATGAAATGCAAAAGAAAAATTTTAATTTGTTGGTATTTATTATATCACTTCATTATAAAATTAAGTTCATTTGAGTTCGATGTTAGTAATTTAATTTAATACTGTTGGTATTTAATCCCTAAAAATATCAAATATCACTTGAGCCTGTGATTAAGAGCTAACACATTATAAAGTGTCCATTAGATCCCAAGTTTAAAGATTAGATTGTTCCTTATAGAATGGTTTAGGTGGTATCAAATGATAAACCTATGTAGGGGGGGTGTTCCTTACCTGATAATACATAAATTATTACCTAGTCCTTTTGTGTTATTTTTGCTCTTTTGCCTAAATGCTATCGATATTTGTCATTTATTTAATATATTAATTAAATTAAATAATACATTTTAAACATACCATAGATCTTTCAGTATTTTGAAAAAATGGATTCCAACCAATACTCATAACCATCATTTCAACAGGAGAATTCTCTACTTGTGCCCATCCATAGTAAACTCCAGTTTTCATGCTTTCAGGTAAAGCATTTATTACCTTCTGATCATAATTAGCTATAAAATAATAAATCCAATAAACAGAGGTAATAAGTTTAAATAGCTTTGTAAACTTTTTTTTACATTCATATGTATATGTCACACTAAAATGTAAATTTGGCACCTATACATTTGGTTGTGTGAGTAGTGTAGTTTTAAATAAGTAATACTTTACTATTGTATAAATTATTTTCAATAATATGTTAAGCATTACATCTAGGAGGTGGATGAAAAAATGATATTAGATAAATCTATAATTAGAACATTTTAAATTCACATAAATATTTGTAGTTATTAATTAGTATGTACTTGATAATTAACATACAGATTTAGATACGTGCCTACTTATAAAGTCATTCAATCGGGAAAAAAATGTTCAACTATCATTTTTCATTAGCCTACGACAAGTATTAAGGTAAAGTAACTATGAGACTACCCTAATAGGTTTATCTACCCATAAAAACACCAATGCAAGTGATGACCACCCTCAAATTTTCAAAAATATAGTTTAATTGTTTGAATTTAAATTAAGAGTAGAAAGAAAAGTATATTAAAAATTAAATACATGAGTATATATTTAATAATTTTTGTAACATTATTGTATTTTGATAGGTAGTTATTCGATTTAATTGCTAACACCAATGTAATACGGATCTGATCTTGTTAAAAATGTATGGCGCAGCCATTGATTATTGATAATAATGCATTTTAGTTATTAAAAATAACATACTTACCAGTTGGAACTCCTAATTTTTTTGATCCTCGGCCAAAACCTTTCACAACTGTACCATTAGTATAGTATGGAAATCGATCATCTTTAATTATTTCAGGAATAAAGTCAGCACTCATGGTTTTAAAATAAATACTACAAGTATTGCGGACTTATAAAAACAATTCACAACAATTAAATAAATTGAAATAAATAAAATAGCTCGTTTAATCAAGATGACATGAGTTGATGGGTGACGCCTTAACATATGGTAACTGACAATATCACAATATTATTCATTATAAGTATAGTATAATGTAATATTTTAAATCATGACACTGACCAAGTTGTTTTATGTAATTAGGTGATGTAACATAAATCAATACAGGAGACTCAAAAAAAAAACATTATCATAAACCTGATGATAAATGATAATACTATCAGAAATAGATGTACAATAAAAACAAATTATCATATTTTTGTAAATTCTAGATTCATGATTAATGATTATGGTACAATAAAAATTCCACTAACTTCTAGTTATAAATCACTAACCTTAAAAAAATTAAAATACATATGCAATTGTTTTGTTTTAATAATGTTTTGTTAAACAATGTATTAATTATATTTTATTTATACGTAATATTAGTTTATTAATAGATATTGATTTTGTTTATTGTATAGAAATAAATTGCTTTCAATTTGAACTTTGATCATGACCATTGCTATATTGGGTGGTGGTTTGGCAGGTTTAAGTGCTGCTTATTACTTGAAACATGAAGGAAAAATTCAAAACAATCAGGCAATACAAATTATTGAAGTAAATAATAATACTGGAGGCTGGATTCAGTCTTGGAAAAATGAAAAATCTAAAATAGTTACTGAACTTGGTCCACGGACAATTCGAGGTCGCGGTAATTCAGCCAACAATACTTATAGTTTAATTAAAGATTTAGGAATTGAAAATTTAGTACGCCATGTTGACATTGATGCTACTGCTAGATACATATATGCTAAAGGAAATGTACATCAATTGCCCACTAATTTTTGGAAAGCCCTATTTGCAGTTAATCGACCATTTACAAAACCATGGATTCATTATGTGTTACGCGAATTCTTTTCATCAAATAATAGTAATATTATATTATCTAAAACACAAAAAAGTGATGAAAGTGCTTATGATTTTTTTTCTCGAACATATGGACAAGAATTTGCTGACTACTTGATTTCACCATTATTGTGTGGCGTATGTGGTGGTGATGCTAAAGAAATTAGTGTAAAGTTTATGTTTGGTGCCTTATATGAAGCAAAACAAAAACATGGCTCGGTTGGATTTGGGTTATTGAAGGAAAAATTGAATACCTATTGGACCCCGAAAAAAGTAAAAAATTCAGAAGAAACCTATAATTTTAAACCACCGCCATCTGTTTATTACTTAGAAGGAGGATTACAGGTATTAATCAATGCATTACATACTAAAAATCAATCTCAAGGCATCAATATACAGCTTAATACTGAATGTTCAGAATTACATTTTCATGAAAATGGTGGTCTTAGAATTATGTTATCTAATGGCCAACATTTGGAATGTTCACATGTTATCAGTGCATTACCAGCACATAAATTAGCTTCTTGTGTTAGTTTTCAACACTCAAAATTAACCCAATTATTAAACTCCATACCAACAGTTTCTATAGCAACAGTTAATTTAACTTATGATAATCCAAATGTAATAGATTCTTACAAGGGTTTTGGAGTACTCGCTTCACCGATGGAAAATTTATCATTGTTAGGTATTATTTTTAATAACTGTATATATGGTCACAAAAAGTCAGTTGATCTTACAGTCATGATGGGAGGATATGCATTCAAAGACAACTTTCTTCACAATTCTAAATGTTTATCTAATGACAAATTAACCCAAATAGCTATGGATCATGTAAAACGTGTTCTGAATATAACATTATCTCCAACTACTTATACTACACAAGTTCTACACAACTGTATTCCACAATATACAATTGGACATTATGAACGTGTAACAAAAATACAAGATTATATTACTAATAAGCGTTTACCATTAACTTTAGTTGGTTCATCTTATACTGGAATTAGTATAAATGATGTTATTTATTCATCAATGATCGCTATGCGAAAATTTTGTAGACGATAGGTATAAAAATAAAATATTTAATAAAAATGCCTTTTCATTTTTATTTTCAATTTCTTTGTGTACCTACTAAAAATAATTTCTCTTTGTAGTACTTAATGTAGTATTATAGATAAAAATGCATAAATGTAATTGTATTATAGGTCTTAAACTTATTATTTTATTAGTAAATTATTATTATAATATAATAATTTATGAATTTTTTCAATCAATTAATTTTTTTTTTTTTTTTGACAACAATTTATATTCAAACATAAAATGTCTCGTTTAAAAATCCATTATTATATCGTTAATTAAAAAACAATATCAGTAGATCCATATAATTAATATTTAGTTTAATTATATTAAACTGTTATACTGGTATCTGTTGTATGTATAGTCTAGGGTTGTCAACTATCCTACATCCAACAATGCTTTAATATTTATGTTTGACAATCTCACATTTTAAATGTAAATATATACAGAGTGATTCATTAAGTATACTCACCCCATTTTTTGGGTTAAATTTTGCATATATTTAAATTCTGATTTTTGGAATTTTTAAATGTAGTTCATTAATCCAATATTTTCGAATACCTTCTTAGATTTTTCACAACATTAAAGGAGTATCCTGTGGTGATACCAATTTCAGTTTTCCAAATGGGAATCTATATAAATAGATTGAGTATAAATTTAAATAAATTTTGGTGTCAACAATTTTGATTTCTATCAACCTGTAAACGAGATATTCCACTTAGTTTAGGTAGGGGCAGAGTAGTGGAACACTATTAAAACTCCACTATTTACTCCATTTATTTATGGAATTTTTAATATACGTTCTTATTTAAAAAATCTAATTTCTTAAATTTTGAAAAAAATCTAAGTATATGAAAATGTTGACTTTAACTACACATAGAAATTCAAAAAATCAGAATTTGAATACATGCAACATTTAACCAAAAAAATGGGGTAATTACGCTTAGTGAATCACCCTGTGATAATCATATATGGGTATAGTTTAAGATATATGAAAAAATATCTTTTAATAGTTTATTATTAGGTATATGTACATATTTTAATTTATTAAGTTATTGTTTATCACTTTATATACCTACATATAGTATAATTTAAGACAGTAAATAATTATATATTAAGTATCTAAATTTGTTAAATTTTTTAATTCTATTGGCTATTCTATTATTTATACCTAAGATTTGATAATTATTGTATGAAAAATTAATTGTTATAATATAATATAGGTTATATTTCATTACAGATTGTAATTTATACATATTTTAAATGTATTTACCTATTGGCTATTTACTAACAATTTGCATATCTAATAAATTGAAAGAATGTCAGTTGAATTCTCCAAGTCAAAAGAGTGTTTAGTAAATAAAGATTAGAAAAAATGGTATAAATTAAATGTGGAAGAATATTTTTGTTAAAAGTCATACCTATTCTACTGATATTACATTTTTTATTAAACTACTAATTAAATAAAATAAGACATAAAAAAAAATTTTCCTCTAAAAGGTTAAGTTTTAAGGTGAAATAACTAGGTACCAAACATAGATAAGTATATCTAACCAACTTTAGTGCATTAATTACAAATATTAATGCAAATTGTCAATCATATGATTTTTTTGAAAATGTTGATGTATTTTAATTGAAATTTGAATGAAATGACTGAATTCAGAAAACTATAAATATGAAAGGATAAAAACTGCATTTAAAACAAGAAATTGTTTATATCAGTGTTTCCAAACCTTTTTCCTTCACGGCACACTAATCCTAACCTATATTTAACTGTGGCACACTTGACATGTATATATTTTTGTATTTTTTATATTAGGATTTTAACATATTTATACCAAAATAGTTGTAAATCAGTAAATTACTAGTAAATAATTTAAAATGATGTTTTTATTTAGGTTACGAAAATTCATGTAAAATCATATTTCAATTTATTACAAATGTTAAATTTAATGATTTGGAAAACATATAAATTAAGATTAGTTTTCTACAAATTTAGTCCTAATAAGAAATTTGTGCCTGGTTATATTTAGGTTTTCATTTGAAAATCCCAAGTTGTTATCGTTCACTACACTTACAAATTCTAAAAATCAGAATAATAATTTAACCATAAAAATGGAATGATCGTGCTTGAAAAATCACCTTGTATAGTGTATACCGATGGTGTTTTGTTGTTTGTGTAAAATAGTCTCCCATTTGTATGTCCGGGTGGAAACTTCTTTGAGACAAGTACAGCCAAGATTTAAGAAAATAGGAATGTAAGATCTTTGAAAAGAAGTGACAAACTTGAAAATTTGAAATCGGAAATGGGAAGACTGAAAATTGATGTCATGGTATTAGTATTCAGATATATTAGTAAAGTAAGATGGTCTAATCTAGGGGATTTCTAGACTGATGACTATAAGTTTATTCACACAGGAACAAACAGTGGATACACAGGAACATTAACATGTAGAAAATATACATATACCTTTAATGATTTAAGTTGATATTGACAAATGACAATACATATACCCAGAGGTGTGAAAATTTTACCACGTCTTGAAAAAGCAAATATAAATTTTCTATTCAAACGTCAAGTCTTTACAAATATTTTTAACTGAATCAAAATAAAAAACTTTGTAAATTTTCCCGTTTTCTACGTTTTTTTTATTTATTATGAAAAATCCTGAAAAAGTTAAAAAATTATCTGCTTAAAGTGCAACCCCAGTCAGATTTCCTTTCGGAAAAAAGCATTGCACTTGAAAATTGGAGCAACATTTTTGGTAGAAAAGTTGTTCACAGATAAAAGAAAATAATAATAATAAACACCATTGCAAAACGATGATTGCTTCGCTCTGAATCTAAAATAAAATTGAAAAATAATGAAATTTTTATTTCTGTAAACTTTCCCGTTTTTTTTTTTTTTAGGTTTTTTCAGTTTTGCTAAACTATGAAAACTAAATAAAATCAAAAATTATTTAATTTAATTTAATTGTTTAATTTTATACAAGTATTATTCGGAAACTATAACTACTTACTAACTATAACTAATTATTTATCTTTTATGATTTTTAGAGTAAAATTCGAAATATAAACAAAACAATTATAATATGGTGAATTATTTATATCTGTTTTATTTTATTATTATTTATTATTATTATAATTTGGTTAGAGAAAAAAGAAAAATATACAGCTCTAAATGAATTTATTTAATATTTTGTGTAATAGCTGTAGACAGATGTCATTTTTTTTTAACACAGACAATTAAATTTTGTTCACTTTTACCTACACATTAGGCGTGGCAATAAATACAAATATTATAAATTTTAAAATATCAGGGGAAAAAAATACAAAACAATAAACTTTTTATGTTTTAAATGTGTGCACATATTTTTTGGAACGTTTTGTTTATTCTAATTATTTTTATACACCCATGAGTTAGCAGGTATATAAGACTGATGTTAATATATTGAAAATATTGTACCAAACATTTTTGTGTAATAATAAGTATATTTGTTGTGAGTAATATAATACATTAAGGTACCAAATATTGTACATTTGTACTGCGGACTGAGCAAGATGAAATTTAACACGACACTTTTTATATGTTTGATTTTTTCGACTATTTGTATTACGAAGGTAAATATATTTACTGTGTTATACACACCTACTAATAACAAATTATTATTTTAAATTTTTCTAATGAACAAATTTATTATTTATCATTATTTATAATCCGAGGTGTACATAAGAGCGTTATTTCAGTTTTTTAATAGGGATGCAAATAATTGAATCGGGCTAATTTTTTCATCCATCAGGCCACGGAAAAATAAATTTCGATTTCTTCGATCACTCGTATTCTCACTTTACATTTTAATATTCAAATACTATAAAGAAATATTTCTGTTCTGTGTTTCTTTCTACTTTTTCTATATTTAATTGATGACAGTGCAATTAAAAAACATTTTATGGGGGGCCAAAAATACATTAACAAAAACGTTAAACGAAAAACAATTCGGAGCAAAGTTCAGTTATAAATTTATAAATATTGTAGAAGGTCGTAATATTTACGATTTTTGTGAAAATTTGATTTTAAAAGTTATATAAAAAAAAAACTTCATTACACACAATTTTCAACTAATAAGTACAACTTATTATGAACTTCCTGTTAAATTTCCATGCATTCCAAACAACTAAATCCACATAATACCTACCAAATAAAAACTACACAAACATAAAAAGCCTCTAAAAAGCTCATAAATAACTAATATATACGAAAAACATTTTACTACGTCTATAAAAAACAAATATAAATTTTCTGTTCAAATTCCAATTTGATATGTAATTTGTTGATATGATGGAAAACGTAATTAAAATATAGCACAGTTACACCACCTACTTTTGTGGGGTCTACCATAAATGTAAATAGGGTGAAGACTAAAGGGGTTTCGGGGGCTTAACTTGTTCTGCTATTTTTTACATTCCTTAAATTTAATATTTCGAAAGGCAAAGTAAAAATTAATAAATAATTATAATACTGAAGTATTTGTGTGTGTAATACATACTGTGTATTATAATAAATATTTCTGAGCATATCTAACTATTGTAGACTATAGTTGAAATTCTATGTTTGTAAACATTTATTGTAAGTTTTGTTTTGTCATATTATAATATATAGGCAAAAGTGTATAATATTTTAAACCAAGCACAGCGATTAAAAAGTATAGTAAATAAATATATAAATAAAAAATGTATATATAAAATAAAACATAAATAAATTAATAGATACATCACCTGGAGTATTATGATAAGTTTATTATACGACTGGTTTCGAAATAAAAATTCATCATCAGGTATATCAAAATCAAAATGTAAAACACGACTGAATATATAAAAAACTAAATGAAGGAATACATAACAAAAAATTATAAACGTGGTCATTTCAGATAGAAATAATTTATTTTAATAGGAGAGATTATTTAAAATGGGTTATTATTAGACATATATATGTTAAAAAACATAAATCATTGGGTTATTAATTATTGCCTAAAATGTATTGATATAAAATATTATTTTTAAATTAGTTTGTACATTTAAAATATTATTAAAATTATTTTTCTTTATTTCATTGTATTCATATGTAATTCTTCAAAAACAGAATTAATGTATATGTTATTTTGGGAATTTAATATCTCTAATTCTGTATTAATATCAAAGCTTATATTATGATTATTTTATAAAACATGTTTAGCGAAATTTGATTTAAAGACAGTCTTTTTAAATTCATGTGCTATTATAGCATTAGTTTGTGTAGGTTTCCTGTAAATAATAAAATTAAATTTATTGTTTATTATGTAAACTGTAAGATCTAAGAAATTTAATTTATTATTTATTTGTATTTCGAGTGTAAATTGAATATTTGTATTTATTTTGTTTAAGTAGTTAACTAAATTTTCTACTTGTCTATTTAAATCTCTAAATAAAATTAATGTGTCATCAACGTATTTATAATATGCTTTCATATATGGATAATTTAATTGATAAATTATCAATTAAATTTGTTGATTAAATTGTTGGATTTTTTATATTTATTCATTTATTTATTTTTATTTTTATATATACATTTTTTATTTATATATTTATTTACGAGTAGTTATAAATCGTTTTAATAATTTTGTTTTACTTTATTATTTTATTATGATTAAAAAGTGTTTAGGGTTGTATACTTCTCTAAACATTCAGTTCTGATCTGTATTTAGGACATCAGTACTCTTAATTCTCAAACACTATTTGTGCCTACAGTACCAAAACTCCAAAAGACTTTCATTAAATTCTATAAAAAGTACTTCCACCCTACTTAGTCCTTACTGACTACCTATATAGCACTAGTAGTTTCGATAAAATGTACCTTTCGATTTGAGTGGAGCGAGAAATTTATTGGTTTTACAATGATGTTTATTTTATTTTTTTTTCTGTGGATAACTTTTCTACTTTTCAAATAAATGGGAAAAAACTAAGAAAAACGAGAAAATAAGTACAATGTTTAACAAATATCATTAAAGAAAATATATAGGTAATATGCATATATAATTATTTTACCATCTGAATCTCCGTTCAGAATGGTTTTTTTCGTTAGCAATGGTTAATCGTTACGTACAGATATATACATTACATTTCCCCTCTACTATGTTCCCAACTTCTCACCTATAACAGTGGCCGCACACGTCACCATTATCTTATTAGGGTTTTTTTTAGTACCTACCTATATTTTAACGAAATTTAGTTACCATGATTCGAATAAAAATTATTCCTCGAGTATAGAAAGTCCCAGTCCTTTGGAACCTCCAATTTTTTTCTATGTCCGCAACTGGAGGTAGATATATATTTTCCCTGCGCAAAGCCGTAATCTAAAATAATTTTGATGAAAATTAAAGGTTTCCCTTAGGTTCTCACTTGGGAGTAAACATTTTTCCTTTGGTATGGTAATACACCTAGTGATAGACTCTAACCAAAATTCATTAGGAATGTAACTTAGTAGACTCCTGTTAGGAACGTTTTCCAATTATCATTGGACTTTTGCAGGGATATTCTCTAGAAGTCACTACAATCTTGTTTTAGATGTCTATTTAAATCTTCTTGAAATCTTGGTATTATCGTACCTACCTATATCAACCTTTAATGTGTAATATTTTTCAGGCTGAACCTAGCGATGAGGTTGAAGAAGAAGCAACACAAGAGGTTGAAGAAGAAGCAACACAAGATGTTAAATGCTATGCACCACAACCTTTTCAGTATAAACCCAGCGAAAGATTGAAGACACTTGAAAGTGGATTGTCGGCCGGCAAAATGAAGTTTGTCCCGGAGGGCAAGGTTAGAGAGACCATGACTAATGTGTATCAGAACGCGATAACGCGAGGCGCAGCTAATGAAGGTCTACAAAAACTCGATGATGAATGGAAATCTATGCTCCAAGGTCCGGAAGCGTCCCGGGTAGTTGGTACCTGCGGCCGGAACTTCGCTAAGGTCGTATCGTCTGATAAAGGACGGGAGATATTGAAAACGGTATGGATCACGGCACACTTGTTGTTGTCGAAGGCCGGCAAAGATACCCGAGGTGCTGGATTGGGTAGGATCATGGCTTCGATGTTCAAACTGTTCGAGTCACCCCAAATGCCTGAAATCGTCAGTCAAACGGGTGGCCTGATTATCTCGGCCGCGAATAAACCCAGAGCGGTGTGGTTCGTTAGACGGGCTTTCCAAGAAATTGAAGGCTTTTTAGTGGATAGAGACCTTCCTGACAAAATCAATACATTCTTTGAAAACATGATGTCTATGATGAAAAACTTGAAAATCCCGGAAAGGGAAAGTGCCTCGTCATTTAAACGTACACGTAGTAGACGTAAATATATTACTGAAGAATAGTATCTATACGTTTTATCGGTCAGATGTAACTAAAAATCAAACATAATATATCTAACTATCTTACAATATAAACCCAATATAATGAATGTATAATGAGATGTAACTATATATGTACCTATGTCTATTTATAAATATTATGTTTTTTGTAGCACTCATAATTAAAATAACATGTTTTACTCAAATTTCGAGAGAAAAAACATTTAGGTATACGAAATACTTTTAGGTAGAGCTATCCTTAGAATTTGCGAGATTCAGGGTTAAAATAATTATGAGACCTAACATAAATTTTTATTTAAAAGTGCATTGAAAATACTCACTCTTTCTTTTTTATTGCACACAGTAATTGATTCAAAATGATTGTACTTTCAAATATCTATAATAGATAGGTAGGAGTAATAGGTACATAGTTTTCAATTATAAAAATAATAAGTAAAACATAAAAAAAAAATTATAATAATTTAATTTAATTTTGCTCGACCATTGTTATTATTTAGTAGGTATAGATTAGATTAAAAATTCAAATAAATAAATAATTATACTTACCTTAGATACAAATTATTTTAAAATCAATACAGCTTCTTTGTAAATTTGTTCAGAATCTTATTAATACATTAACAAATTTCTCGTTCTACAAGTGCTTTCCACACTGGTAGCTTGTAAAGATAAGTAAGTTTTAAAATGGAAATTGTATTAACAGCATAATACCTAATAATAACAAAAATTTTAAATGCATAATGTTATATTTCCTTATATATATATATATAAAAGAATAGGCATTTTTTATGTTGCAATTTTGTGATGACACTATTTAACTTTTTTTCATATAGTTGTTGCAAATACTCTTCTAAATGTCACCATGGCATCCGAATTTCCTTTTTTTTATTTGTTTGAGAGGAGGGAGAGGAGGATTCAGTTTTTTAGCGTATCATTTAAATAATTTAACGATTTTTTTTTACTAAATTGAATAAAATACTCCTTCAAGTGATCTATTATTTACAATTTCATTTTATTCGTCGTTATAAATCGTTTACGCACTCTGTCATAATTAAATACTGGCAGAAAACACCGATAAATAAAACTCTATGGGTCGGTATGCGAATAATACTCAAATGTAAAATTTGAATTCTCCTAGGTTATGTAATGGGACTAGGCTCCGTGTCACCTCTCGTACAAAAAAAAGTAATTGAAGCTGAAATGTTGATCGGATGTGCTAAGTGAGAAAAATATTTTCACCGAAAATACCATTACACCCCAATGATTTTCCAGTTCAGTAAAAAAGAGTTGTTTTAAAAACAAGTTTGTTTTGCAATGACAATAAACAATGCTCAAGATCAGACTTTAACTTATTGTGGTGAAGATTTGAAATATAACTGTTTCTCACATAGACAATTGTATGTAGTATTTTCTAGAGTTGGAAGATCTGTCCATTTATACGTTTATGCACCATAAAATAAAATTCTGAATGTGGTATACCAAGAGGTTTTGACTAAAGTCATTTTAGAATTGAGTAACTCATTAAAGAACCATTTGTAAATATTCATAAATAAAGTTAAATTATACAAAATATAATTATAGAACCATTTTTAATAATAATATGGGTATAGAATCATTAGAATCATTTGTAAATTGTATTATTATTTTTTTATTTGTTATTCAGCTACTAATACTATTTAGCAATTGATTAAATTAAGTAAAATACATTTTTTTCTTCTTTAAAACATAACTATGAGTGTTGAACTTAAGATTTTCATTTAGAGAGAGCAAAAACTACACACGGACGAAGCCGGGTAATTCAACTAGTAATGTATATAACATTATACATATATACATTACTAGCTGTCCCGCCCAGCGTTGCCCATGCCAAACATATGTGTAATAAAAACGTTTTCCCTCTGGATTACCTGTTTTCATCTTGATCAAAACACTGCAGTTAACCATTATTGCCCTTAAAAATTTAAAAATACTTTTTCTTTAATTTTCATTTCAAACTTATATGAATTAGTTATATGGTTGCTAAGTAATGAAAAATATCTATAAATTACTATTTTGTATACAGCCCAAACTACTGCAGGTTAGATCTATTACTTCTACTAGTCAGATCGAGGATTTCAATAGTTTAAAACCTTCTCCAGATAATACGAAAAAACATATTGCGAAAAAACAAGTAAAATTGGTCTATATTTTGATCGTGCATTTGTGAATGATTGTTTCTAGGTAAGCGCATTTTCTTGGCACTATTTGTGGAATGATCAAGGTTTGATTTCCTCTTCAAAGACATTATGCGATAAATAAAAAAAATAACCAAGAAAAGTAAAAAAAAGTGCTATATAATAATAGAATAATATAGGATTGCAACTAATCCGTTAGTTAAACAGGTGCCACCTATCTAAAATAATAATAAATTGTGTACTAAGTTACTAAATAACTTTTTTTTAATGAACAAAAATATGCACTATATATCTTCCAGTTTCTAATTCTCGTTGAGCTGTGCCCATCACTACCAAGAGCAAAGGGCAATCCAAGGGCCCCGTTGGAGGCCCACCAATAGGGAGCCCACTAGGAAATTTGCAAAATAAACGTAAAAGTTGAATGATCATGAAATAACTAAACTAAAATCTGAATAAAGTAAAAATATTAATTCTCAGAAAATATTTCAAGTCTAAATGAAACACACAAAAATATTATAAGTCCAATTAGTTAAACGTTTGACATTTTTTTAAAACCCAATAATTAAATTCGTCAAAATTATTCTAAGTCTAATAAAATTACCTATTCAAAGTAGTACAAGTCCAAATATTTAATTCATAAAACAGTATGTTACGAACGTATACTCTCAATTGATCGCCTAAAATTAGGGTATTTTACTAATGCACACTTAATTCCACATACCAAAATATTTTAATGAACATAGACCTAGTAGTGCATATGCCACATATGACTTCGTTGCATAATTTTTTTTGGTATTTATTAATAATTAGTTATAATAAATACAATCTAAGACAATTTTCTATAAAAGTCCTTGATATATGACTAGAAATTTTAAAACTAAAAACTTAATAGCTTGGGTTAATATACTCATTATATTATTAAATAATAACAAATACCTACTTCACTGGAAACAACATTTAACTCAATGTTATATTTAAAACAATTATATAAATTTAGTTAAAAATAAACGTTGGTACTATTATTCTTAGCAAAAGAAATATTTTTTGAAGCTTTGGCTTTAGAGAAAACCCCTCGAAACCTGCCCTGCTTAACAGCATATGGCTATGCCTTTGCATGCCTATTTTTACTTTAGGCCAATATAAAACTGCTGAATGAGAGTTGAATTTAAACAGACAAGACAAAATAGGCAAATGTCGTTATCGACGCCGTCTAGACGGTGTAGTCGATATTATTTTTAGTGTTAAGGATTTTAAATGAATACATGCTAATTAGTAATTTTCACTGTTTTTAATAATCAATAGTGGATATTAATCAAATAAAAATGCATAAAGCCCAACAAAATTACTGAACACTTTTAAATTTGCTATTGCGCATTTAATATTGACTACTGCTCATAGTGTGTGATAGTGCATACGAATACTATACACATAAATATAAAAATTCCTTTATTCTTGCCATAATTTATTTTTAATACAAAGACCCCTTTACTGTTATCTGTTACGACAGTTATTTATTAAACTTATATAAAATAAGGACCCCCGCAATAATGGCGTGTACTCATTTTCCAAAATGTCCTTAGCTATATGATATTATTATTTTACAGCATTTTGGCTGGGTCGCTTTATTCGGATCTATCTTATTTTGGGTATTTCGGGTCCACTCACGATTACGAGAAGCGTGCGGGCACGTAACATACCAATAACATTGAACAAAGTGCAGTTCTGATAATCATACGTCAAGATCAGCGGCGGTAGTAGGAGTGGTGATTTATTGACTGTTAAGTATAAGTTAGTAATAATTTATCTAAATAATTATTAATATTCGTGTAAAACATTTGATACCATTTTAAGTAGTCGGGGCTTACAGTCGTGTTTATATCCGGAAGTTTCAATTTCCAACCCCCCTCCTCGCCCACTGCCTATTTGTATGTTAGCCAAAAATTGATAACTACTTTATACCTATTTTGATGAAATTATAATTATTTTGGGACATTTAGGCCTGTGAAAATTAGAGCTAGAAACACATAAAAAAAAATCCTCTGCATTACAGGCATTTTTTTTTTTTTGGCTTCATCTTAATACAACTCATGATGAATGTCAAGTAAATTTTTCAAACATTTATGCACGGCCCAACAATTTTATTATATTAATTCAAATAAGAACTAAAAAAAATAAATATCTATTTACGAATATGATAACCTATATTATGTAGTTAATATAACTAAATAAAGTTTTTTCTATAATAACGTGTAGTTCATGTAAAAATCCATGTTTTAATTGGGTATGTCCAAATTTGTTTGTTTTGCCTCAAGTATGAAAACTGTTCAGCACGCCACTGCCATAGTTATCGACACATTTAGACAATCATGATACCTACTTATACCTATTTTAGCTCATGATTATCACAGATTTTTTTTAAATTCTACTAAAATCAGCCGTAAAAATTATAAAAACTAAAAACCTAAACAAAAATTTAAAAAAAAGGAAGAAATTTCGGGAGAAGAGGGTTAAAACCCTAGAACCCTACACCTGTTTACGCCACTGGATAACATTAGTAATAATATAATATAATGATAACTAGATTTATTACTCGCAACATTGTCAGCAACTTTACCCGTGTGCAGTTTACATGTCTGTGCTGTCTAGTTAGTGTATACATCATACACTGTGATCCAAATTAGTACTTACCGGGAACTTCCTACCGTGAAACATTTTAACCTTCTCGGGAACATCCTATTTTGGTCGATAAATCACTAACCTTTAATCTCCTCACCGTTGGGATGCATTTTGATGTTTATTGTTCATAACCATCTTCTGGAGTACCCATATTACCCCAGTAGTTTTTATAATAAGAAAAACTAGTAAAAAACGTAGAAAGAAGAAAACAATTTATGAAATAATGCTTTTATTATTATTTTACATTTTTTTTTTTCGTTATAATTCATCTAAACATATTCGTAGACAGTTGAAATTTGAACAGAAAACTTATTTTTTGCCTTTTCTAAATTTGATAAACTTTTCAACATTTAAGACATTTTATTTTTGCAAGATTTTACATCATTTTTATTTGGTAGGTATTCTGTAGATAAAATTGTTAAACCAAACAGAAATGTTTGAACATTTAACGGCAGGTTTATTATAAGTCGTATTTCGTGGTAAAAAAAACTGCGTGTAATGTAGGATTTTTTTATTAGAATTTTAGTATCAAATTTAGATGAAAATCGTAAATATTACGGTCTTCAAAATATGTACAACCGAACTCCACTCAGAATCGTTTTTTGTTAACAAAGATTATTCGTTGAGTACAGATGTTCATTAAATTTCTTTCTATATCCTACCTTCCCTCCTTCTCTAATTATCACCTACAAGAGTAGCCCACCAATCGTGTGAAGTATATCTATTTTTTTTTTATTTTGCCATTAAATTTGATATTTTAATGAATATTATAAAAATCACGATATTTTGCGTATTTTTCGATTTATGTTATATAACATTTTATAGTGCATCAACAATTCTGAAATGAAAATTTGAACGAGATTCAGCTTAGGTTTTACTTACTAGTACAAGTTGAGCGTAATAAACTTAATTATTTTTGTACAATCGTTGAACGTTCAAATTAATATGCAAATCATAAAAAGTAGGACATTTTAAAAAATGTAAACCAAGCATTTTAAACTTAATTTTGATCATAATTGTTTTTCAATAATGATTTACCTTTTCGTACAGATATAAATTAAATTACTCATTTATGTAGGTACATAATTTTTTATTTTTTACTTAAATTCAGTATTTTTAAATCTCACCTAGATTATTTGATGTTCTCTTTTTACCAATCAAATATTTCTCTTAAAGTATTGAGAAAATCTAAATGGAGAATTAGCTTTTGATTTTAGTCTGGTACCTACATGTTGGTAGAGCGAGAGTTTTAGTTTAGCATTGTTAAATTTCAACGTACCGTATTGCTACACAAATTATGCTCCACTACTCTCCCCCTACTCAGGCCTAAAAGAGGAAAATCTTGTCAATGAGTTAATGGAAATCTAACATTTTAACACCAAAATGTATTTTAACTAATATCCCATATTTATGGAGTTTTTAATGTAGTTTACCATTTCATAATCAAAAACAGATAATCGTTTTACCTCCAAAACAAAAATAAAAAGACAAAAATAATGGTAATGTAACATTTTAGAGCTGCTTGTTTCTTGAACTGTCGGAAAATAATGTTGAAAATAATAATACATTCCTAGATCATGAGGATTTTGTATCATCATCATTTTGTATATTAGGATAACTAATATATTTAATACGTTTGCGTATTTACCTACACTACTTACTTATTTTTTTAAAATTCATTAACAAAACACATCACTTATCAGTATAATTAACTAAAATTACACTGATACATGTATATATAGTCTTTAATTGCAGTAACGAAAATAACCATATGGATAAATACTTACCCATCTGTTTATATCTAATATAACAACCGATAATCGCGCCACTTAAAGTAAAAACTAAAAATATGTACGTACCTATTGAAAAAATAATAATTATTATAGCATTTTGTGTCTAAACTTGTTTACCGAATTACTAGGAAATTATAAAACAGGCCTATGTATACATTTGCATAAATGTAAAATGCATACATTTCGAAATCATAATTTTAGGTATAAATAGTTGGTAGGTATCTATTAAAAAAAAATGTTATACAGTTATGTATATTAGTATTCCTATGTAGCTTATATAATATTATCCAGGACATCTAGACATAATAATAATATGAATAAAATCAAAATATCACTGTGTACTAATTGCGTTCCCGGTAAAAAGTTACCTATAAAAAAGTTAATATTTAAAGGTTATAACTTATAATAATAATTGCGTCCCTGAGCTGTTTTCAATAGACCACTCCCTGATCCCAATTTTTGGTTTTATGATTTTTTTTTTAAAATTCTGAGTTACCTTGGCAACAAAGGAAAGTACAACTAACACTATAGGTACTTTAGCTAAAATCGTTTTAATTGTCATTAACAATTATTAATCATTGCATACAATATTTAAAGTAAATAACTAATAACCCTATATATTTATTAACCTACCTTCTGTGATATATATAGCGACCAGCCGCCAATAATAATTGTAAAATATTTAAATATATTATTATATTATTGTTTTACGCGATCGTCACAGTCACCAGAATCATTATTATTATGTTAAAATATAATATTATAGGCATGTCAAAATATGTTATGTGGTCACTAGTCGTAATAGGGGCATCGTGCTACTATCGGCCGTATGTAAACTGTGGCAAAACTGATAAGATACACTATACAAACTGCAACAATTTTTTTGATATACTTATTAGGTATAATTAGGTATAGGGTATACACTATAATATTATATTCTTATAAGCTTTACAGGCCATGATGGCCCTTGGCTTCCAAAGCAATTCTTTTCCACTTATCACGATCTTTGGCCACATTCCTCCAGTTTCGTATCCCCGTCTGTTGTAAATCTTTCTTAACTTCGTCTATCCATATCACCTATCGGTTATGTATATAATATTATATACATACCGATAAGACGATCGATGTTTGATAACGTTTGTACGCAATTTTGTAACATGTACGTATTATTATTACATATTATATGTCTATGGTGTTCCCCGTCGTCACATACAAAACCGAGTAACGAATAACGACACACGTTTTCATTTTATTTTTTTGGTGCGCACACAGTCAATTCAAGTTATTAGAGTACATGGGTAAATAATAAATATAAAAAAATTGTATTTAAATTATGAAACAGAAAAGAACATCATTTAACTAATATTAAAACTGTTATCTTATTAAAATCCAAAAAAATTAAAAATTAAAATAATAAATTATACATATTATTTTTGTTTATCGTATCAGTATATACCTAATAACTTATATT